TACACATTTATGAAAATCCGCAGATGGTAGATCAATGTCTAGAGTGTTCCTCTTGGACAGAAGAGTTTATTGATCCCGTGTTGAACAGTCGGCGCTACTATTTCCTTCAATTTAATTGTTTTCTCGTTACTTTTATTACACAGCTTAATGTCAATGATAGATTGATACGAAATAAAAATAAAATATTCTAATTTGACAAGATTTGAATGAAAAGTTAGCTGGACTTGTTATTTTAGCTGAATTTATTTATTTAGCTCGTTTTCATGGATTTCTTCTGATTTATTGTCAACCGATGAACAAAATCACCCGGGAGATTATTTAAAACTCTGTCTTTGGTTCAAAAGGGAATCGTCCCAACGGTATGGAGTAAGAAGGATTATAGAAACAGATCCTCCCCGCATTGCGACAAATGTATATGTCTGACGAGTCAATCAAGTATGACATAATATGCTTATTATTGTATTATTGTTATTATCATAACCATTATGATTATTATTATTATTATTAAGCTTCTTCTTCTTATTATTATTAGTATTATTACGTATTCAGTTTCGTAAGAATAACAGATTTCACGTTAACATATTACACAAGGATTACGTAGCGATAAAACGTAAAAGTAAATGTATGCCAGAGTACCGGACGCGTACGAAGTATGTATATCTAGCAATAACAATAGAGCAATGGACATTATTTTAAAGTCTAATAGAGAAGAAATAGTTTCTTTATTACAGTATATACTTTATGCGCGCGCGTGTGTGCGTGTGTGATGAAAATGGAAATTTGATTTATGAGAACATTTCACGGAATAACAATAGACAAATGTAATGTGTGCGTGTGTGGGTGGGAGAGGGGAGAAAGGGGATTATTATATGCTTGTAAGAGATATATAATATTTTTAGTATTTAATTCGATATGAGATATTTCCTTACAATGTTACGAAACAGTTATGTTCATTGCTTCTTTTAAGAAGCATTTCAGCACAATTATCACCATGTAGGTGGATAATAAAGAAGAAACGGTTCCTTAATTTCTCACGGTATGCCGGCCGGCTCAATGGCAGACAGATGTATCGCGTGTTTCTTAGGTGGTCATTATTTCACCTAGTAACATTTCTTCCCCGAAATAACCACACCCGTACTGCACAGAGCAACCAATGTCGACCTCGAAGTATCTAGATGCTTTCCTGGTTTTCCTCGTTTTCCTCGTTTCGGGTGCAAGTCCTTTTCCTCGATACCGGCATTTTCTAACGTCATGCCGGCCGGCTTGCCGGTCATGTCAGTCAGTGACACACACGCGCGCGCGCGCACACAACACACACACACACACACACCGTGTGCGCGCGCAGCCAGTTAAAGTAGTACGAATCTCGTACGTATCTGTATTTGTATAGATGCAGTATGAGGTCCCCGTTATATGTACACCGAAATGGGCCTACATTGCGACGATTTCGACGTCGTACGATGCGCGCGCGCTCGCGCGTGTGTTTGTATGGTTTTGCGTATGTGTGTATACATGCATGGACCGACTAGACGGCACTAGCAGTGCCTGGACTGCGCAAGCGAAGTAATGGAGGTGACGCGCATCGCTAGTGGGGATACTGGAACAACGTTTAGAGAGGGGGTGGGTTTGCGTGGCAGCGAGAAAGGATATCGCAAAGTCTGTCAGAGAGCCGGCAGCCCGCAACGCGAGTGTTGCTGCTGAGTCGATTCGAGTATCATCGTTGATTGATACATACACACACACACACACACACACATACACACAGACACACGCGCACGCACACACGCACGCACGTACACAGCACATACACTGGGAGAATAGAGACATTCGTGAGTCGCAGCAGGGAAGCTCGCGACAACGGTATTATACGTTGCCACCCGTAGCCAGATAAGAGGGCGATACGTTTTGCCTTCTTCCAGTTCCGATCTACGTTTAGTGTCATCGTGTGTCCTACGACGGTTCTCTCTTTCTCCCTCTCTCTCGCTCTCTCGTATCCCTTTTGCTGTCGTATTCGCGAACACCTCTCGTACTCTTCCTTTGCCCCTTTCTCGTTGTCTCTTTTTACTCCCTTTCTTTCTTTCTCTTGTTTTAAACGCGGTGCACCACTGAATACGAAAAGGACGACGAGAGAGTTGGTCGTCTTGCGAAGCGGCGATCTCCGCTTACACGACAGAGGCGCACATACTGCTGGGGAAGACAGACACGACCCGGCGTGTTCGATTTTTTTCTGACGGATACTATTCTCGTTACAAAGTTGCTGCGCCTTTCCTGGAAAAAGAAGCCTTCTTGGATATACCATACATTATATATCGTGGAATTGGAAAATCAAAATTGGACAAACGTGTATAGCGTAACGAGGTAAGCGAATGAGCAATTATCGTTCTGAATAACGATTCCTGGTGTAAACATTGGGGAAATGATATTGTAAAACGTAGACGGGATGAAAATGTCCCAAAAATTCTGTGTTAACACTTTTACGAACTGTATATATAGGATAAATCCTATCGGTTGGCTGGGTTGACTGCGGGAGGGGTTGTTACTAAGGGGTGGACTGCAGTGCCGATACTCGATGGGTCGACCGTTTCAAATTTTTTTCATTGTAATTTCGCGTTCTCCTGTGCAACGATTCGTACAACGACTAGATGTTACACAGCAATTGTTTCTTGTTCAGCTTTTAATCACCATTCTCTTGTTGTCTGTTTTCTTCCTCTTTTTTTACTCTTTTCTTGTAATGTGTACGAAATGCACGCTGGTAATTGTGAGTAAGAAACGAAGAAGAGTATTTGTTATATATCTCGATTGCGCTTTTCTATCTGTCTGTTTGTCTTTAGCGCATTCGATTCGAATTAGCTTTCCTGAATTCTCCTCACTCTCACACTTGGTATATTTGTCATTCTTGTTGATAGAAAAATAACAATAGAGATGAAAAATAAAATAGACTCTATTGAAGTCGATAATTAAGAATAAACGTTTAATGTCCTGTTTTCTAGTTGGCTAGCCAGAATTTGGATCAATGATCTAAGGTCGTGCGGAGAAACTCGGATCCTGCGCAGTAGACGGTAGGACATAGCCCTACCGCTTTTCAGGGAAAGGGTCGTGCAAATCCTGCGCAATACCTAACGTTAATGCTGCCCGTATGAAATCGCGTTGAGACAACACACGGCGAATTTTTCATAGAATCTCTTCGAAATTTTTTTGCTTCGGTAAGATTCTATTATTACAATTCTGTTTACATTACTACAGTTAAACTTTACGATTCGCCTCGATAGTTGTTTCGTTTCTTTTTCTTTTCACACAAGGGGACGTTCTTCACGAATCGTTGCTTCGTCAAGCTTTCTTCAAAATCTTGTACGTGGGTGTAGAAAAAAGCGTGTCCTAGTCAGTGATGAATTTTTCAATTTCTAATCCGCCGTCGTTGCTTTCGTTGTATCGGAACAGGCTATATAACTGCACGCAAGTAGAAGTAACTGGTCATAGCCGATATTGAAAAAGTGGAGATGGTATCTAAATTTGAGGTTCCTTGTAAATAATAAATGTACGTTAACATCTTTCGGTTGTACGTACGTCTGTTCGTTTTTTATACCTTTGTGCACGTATCACGTATGTAAAATATACGTAGGTATTGGTGTTAAACTATAATACTAACGATCATCGTTTATCGAAAATTTTTCCAATTACGCCTTCAGCTGATCCTCCCTTGGAGTTGCTTATCATTCTTTGTACAATAATACTATTGGTGTAATACACGGGAAATGATAACAGCGAATGGACTGCTGCTGGTACAGTTCAGATTCTAGTAGAAGTATGATGTTATATGTCAGACACGCGGTGGTCGAAGTGTGACACTTGCATAGATGAGAATTGAGAATACATGCATACTATCTCGATGAGAAAGTTTATTCTTAATATCGTTGTCTTCTTTGAATAAAAGGTATTTCCTCGGAGAGTGGAATTCAATGATATAAGCAGTGTATGAAGCTTTATTTGGATCTCTTATTATCGTTATACATACATATGTACCTACATATTTTTGCTAACGCAAGCAATATACTGTATTTTTAATGGTAATATTTTTCTGTTGTTTGCTTCCCCTTCTCTCCCACCACACTTTTCCTTCTATCTTTTCCCATTTCTTTTTATCTCTCTTTTTCGTTTTCCCCTTTCCATTTACCTACCACCTAGCAATGAGTACCACGGATCCTACCGGAGAGGGCGGAGGGGGAGGGGAAACGACTACAATATCGCCGACAAACATTGAACAAAATGCATCTCCAGTTACACCGGTGACCGGCAGTGCGATGCCACCGGGCTCTCAACAACAGCATCCACCACCATCACCATTAAGTGGTTGTTACCTTCTCGTTGTGCTTCCAGAGCCTCATACCGAGCAACATAAAGATCTCATCTTGAACCGTCTCGCAAAAGGTTAGTAGAGTTTTTATATCGAAAGGACAAAAGGATTTTGTTCTCTACTCCTTTAAACGCGATCTCTCTTCGCTATTTCTACGTTGCTTCAACCAAAGTAAATAACGTTAGTAACGAGCAAGAAAATGCCTTTCGAAATGTATCAACTTTTGTATCCTTCATATCCATACTATTTTACATATTTGATATGATGGAATACTGTTCTCATTTATAAAGTGGATGTGTGTTATCGTGAAAAACACATTAGCAGTAGAGTATATCGTAGTATGATCTGTAGTAGGTAATTAGAATTATGCGATTACAATGATGATTTTACGTATTAACTCATCGTGTTACTTCCACGCATGAACTGAAGCGGCGGTAACGGTTCTTCTTCGTTGTGCGTATTCCTTCCGATTTATCGGACAAGCTTACCCAGCAACTTTGTAGGTCCCCCTTGTTGCTAGGCGGAGTTTGAGCGGACGTGTGTTGGCTATATAGTAAGGAAATCGCGAGTGGTATGTACCTTTATTCGTCATTAGTTGTGTGCTGGTGGTTGTCAACGTTTAACAGCTACTACGGTTCCTTTATTATTCAAGTTGACCGTTTTATAATTTGATAACTTTGTAAACTCATTTTCCTCACACACCTTTTTCTGCCATATTGTTATGTGTGCGTGTTAGATATTTATTAACGAGACGCCAAAACAGCTGGAATAAAATCATTTTCTCAGGATAAAGACTTTTTATTTTTATTTGCTCACCGGTTGTATCGCGGTTAGAAATTCAGCGAAAGAGGGAAGATGGAAGTATCGGAAAATTAGTCTTTGATTTACGTCCAACTTACATAATATGTACACGTACCTGTATCTATTCAAAATTAGTCAAATGAAAATAATACTTGATATAGAATATATATGTATAGGTATTAGTTTCTGAAGAATTTTAATCGGTAAAACTTATCTTTTAGTTTCGTTTAATACGTTTACATCGTCATATATGCATGCACGTCGCATATTGACAATGAGTATACAGTTGGACTATATATGTATGTATAGTAGCAAACGTGAACGAGAAAAAATCCCCAAAATTATTCGGAAGAATGTGTAAAGAAGTGGAAAGAAGATATTAGGAGAAGTATAGATAATACGCGGTGATGTTGGAGTATTGTACATGAAGGCAAGTTAAATGCGAAAAGAGTAGGCTGAAGAGACTGAGAATAAAGAAGAAAAGGTGAGAAAGGGTAGATGGCGAAAGGAAGGAAAGGAAAGTAGGGAAAAAAGGATTATAGGAAAGAAGAAAAATATGTAACTATGAGTTTGATGCGGTATGCGCATGTTAGACCGGCCTACGGCCACATCCCCGCAGTCACCAGAACTTGGATCAATAATCCATCTACAATCTACACGGTACGTAGCGAAAATTGTCGCTAAACCGAAATAACTATATTATTTCGCGGTATAGCTAAACGAAGAATGGTCTCATATGCGACACACACGCATACGAAACGAAGGGGGAAGAAGAGAGTGGAGATTGAACGGGCGGGTAGTGCATGTACTCGTATTGTACGCACGCGGAACATAGGAGAATAGGATGAAGAAAGATAAAGTGGAATAGTTGAGATAGGGAGAGAAGAGAATAATAATGTAAACCTTTCAAATCTATTATACGTAATACACGTTGGTAAATGAACTTATTTAGGTTGAAATAGGTCGGAAAGCATTAAGTTTTTATAATAATATGGGAAAAAAGAAAATATTCATATCTCGTTGATGCCTAGTAATGCATAAAAAGTTGATAGGGGCTTGCAGCCTAAAAAAATTTCTTTCTCCGATTAGTCAGATGACTGATATCTTTTTGATCATTTCGTATAATAGAATTTCTTTCTCGTTTTGCATACTTAATTGTGCGTGCGTGCGTGCGTGCGTGCGTGCATGCGTGGGTTCGTCTCCATGCATTTGCATATGTGTATATATATATAATACATTATACTGTGTGCGATGATGGGGGAGGGGGATATGGTAGAAACGTGTTGATAAGTTTCGCGTGACTCATAGGCCGCCTATGTGGATACGTAAGTACATCACAGGAAGGATTGGTAGATCGGAAAGAAAGCGCGAGACGTGAATTCATTCATGTGCTTATTTTTAAGTTACTCGCGCAATGGTATGACTTCTCTACTATTTCTGACGATCGTGTATCGTGTCTCTGCGAATCTCGATATACATATATGTACATACATACATAGGTATATGAACTCGATAGACAGGAGGGATGTGAGTAACAGACGGCGTTTACGGTGAAATTTTGGCAATATTTAGACGGACAAGAGGGGAATGGGATTGATGATGTATCATACGTGAGAATTTTGAACGCGTGTGGCGTACGCTTAGGAAGTTGAACATTTTGTAAGTTAATGTACGGTAATACGGTCGTAAAAGATTGATGCTATAATGCTTATACATGTCGATGTATGTATGTGCATGTACTTACAGATATTGTGCGGGTAACTGCACATATAAAAGATAGGGAAGGCATACTTGTCGGTATGAATCATGATTGAGGACGTGGGGAGCATCGAGAAAGTTGAAGTTATTCGATGCTTGTAATATCCGGAAGAACTCACACGCACAACAGAGGGTTCCGTTCAATCGAACCGCGCGGAGTTGAACACGCGTGCTCCTTTCACAAGTGTATTTACACTTACAGTTAGATATGCCTATTTAATAGTACGAGACGATGCATGTTCACAATTTATACAGGGTTTCATTTGTCCAAACAGTTAAACCTGTAACGAAATGTCCAGTATCAAAGTTTCAATTTCTTTGAATATTATATCATACATATTTGGCCAGAGGTCGTATACGTATTGACATTTGAAAAAACTTGTACGGAGCGACTCTTACAATTTCATCGTACGCGCAACAGAGTATAGTGTGTCTAATTTTACCACGGCATTCGCTACAGATTTTCTTTCTCGTGCATGGTGCTCTTCGAGTCGTGAAACTCTAATGTTTCTCGATTGCCTGGCTGTTCTTGAACCTGACCCTTACATCAAAATAGCGTACTTGGCATTAATAATCTTTAAGCTGTAACATAAAAAAGTTCTTCACCACTGCACTGCGTCTTTATCGTAGTGCGTTTTTCGTTCTTTCTCGCTGTGATCTTCATTCTTATCATTATTTTAAATTATCAAGATAGCATGTGTAACATACACGCACATGTGCGCGTACATCAATCTCATGTCTTGATTAAAAATTTTGTTCATACTAATTGTAGTAATTTCGAAGTAATTTCAAGACATTAAGAAACACCTTGTGTTGTCGAAAAAAATTACACGAACTGTTGTTAGAAATGAATGTCGTCGGTTTCGGCTTTAATAAATCCTTGGATCGGGTCTTTGCCCTTGTCTTAAAAATATAAATAGCCACGGACGAGCCAAGTCGATCTCTGTGCTACTCTATCAAGCTCGTGTACGTTTAAACATTGTTTGCTATTTCGTTCCTTGTGCGTGTGTATGTGCATGTCCGCGCGTGTAATAACACCGATGCTATGTGGAAGACAAATAGTCAGTATTTCTTGACAAGATTATGTACGTATTGGAAGGAATAACTATGATATCGACTCTTACGTTTGGAACAGGTTAGAACAACAGCTGCCCATCGACCTCGTTCGATGTTTCCTTCTGTCGTGTGAGACCAACGAAGAGCGATGTCAGCAGTTTTCGAAGACGCTTTTTGACCCTGTTAGAAGAACAAAAGCTTTTGCATTATACTCTCGTAAGCGTTGCTCTTGTGAGAGCGATACTTGAAATATTTTTCGACACGACGATTTACTATGATGAACATATAAATAATTTTCTTTCTTTATTTATTGTAATACATCACGTGATACATATTACTCTTTTGTTATAAAATGCAAGTTGAATGAAAACGTCTACGAATCTTGAGAAGTGAAAGTTGCAAGGAGGGACAACGAGAAACCATGTCTAAACATAGTTGAAGGAGAGGGGGGAGGGGGGGGAGGGCAACCCTTGCAGTGTCCGTCGTGGAGTAAAAAAGAAAGAAGAAAGAAAAGGGTGGGATAATGTGGGGCGGTAGCGGGTGAGAAAGAGGAAGAGGAGGAGAAAAAATGAAGGAGAAAAGAGGAAAAACGGAAGGAAGTAATTGCAAATGGAGAAATACGGTGGAAACGGCGAGAATGCTCGAGGTTCTAAAAGATGCTACGGGCGAAGGGGGGGGGGGGGAAAATGCTCCAACGAAGAGACCCACGATTTTGTCTATATTTAACTCACAAGTATTTTCAATCCCACACATGTTTTTAAGTACAGCATGCCTCCGAGACGTCAACGTTGTTGTCCACCATTTCTTCTATCATTTCGATCCTTTCTTCGAAAACTGAACACGAATGTTACCGTGTTTTCTTCCGTATATAATTTCATTTGTATTATCCACTTATTTTTTTGATCGTTGCGTTAATGTTTGAAGTGATCTGATATATGAAATATCGTATGGGAGTTATCGCCGCCTAGGCACGTACACACGCAGTAATATCAGTAAATACGTTTCTTACGCGCATCGTGGATCGTGCATTAATGCATGGATACATAGGTGCATATGCACACATGTGCATACATGTATAGATAGGTTTTGCAAGGAAAATGTGCAGGGGTCGTCACGCATTAAAAGGCACGACCCCCGACGCACGGCTTCTCTTGTATCATCGTCAGGGCTTCCGATCAATTTGTCATAGAGAATTTGCTGGCTCCGTGGTTCGACGTGACAAGTTAAACGATCTGAGAATTATACTTATGCGAGTATTACATCATACTTGCGTTTACAGATGCATTTTATTATTAGTTCTCTCGGGAAAAAATGTCTACCGTATCGATGGAAAGTAATATTTTTGTTCCTTTTGTCAAAATTGTTATCGTTAATAGGTCGTTTTAATATGTTGTTCGAAATGTGTGCGGATATTTAGTGCGATAAGTAGTTGGACGATAAAAGTTGAAACTCCCTTGGCAACGGAATACACGTTCCATTGCGATGCTGTGCATCATCGATCCTTTCGATTCAGCGTGACAAGTTGATACGGTCTTGTCGTTCACACAGAGATATGTACACCGCGTTCTGAATTAAATGCATTTTACGGTGTTTATTTCGTGTTTGTTCAGCGCCGACAATCCTGAAGAAAGCCTAAAGAGAGACTAAAGAGAATTGAATTTGTCAGAAATGTCACAGGTACATATACAAATATACACGTATGTACCTGTATTAGGGAGTAGATTAACCAATTACACGTAATTGAAGAAATGTGTAGTGTTATATGAGCCACTTAGGAGCCAGAATGATTAACTCCACTTTTTCATATTCTTCCAATTTTAGTATCAAAGCATATGCTTGGTGTTTAATTTTTCTTAAATCAAACAAATTTAATAAATTTCACTCTATGGAGTTAGTCACTTTGGCTTCTGAGTGGCTCATATATCACCGTAGTACTCACACTTTTTCTGTATATGCGAGTGTGTGCGTGACAGAGATGGGGTGAATAGAAAGAGAGAGAGAGAGAGAGTGAGTGGGTGCAGGATGTGCGATCGATTGCCGGCTACGGCGGAACCACGTGACGGGGTGCGGTATTTGTGACGTCATGAAACTTCTGTTTCATTCGTGATATCGCGGTGACATACTCGTTCTTTTGTCTCTATTGGTTTCGATTACGTCGCTTCGCGTTTACTTCTCGTCGAATCTCCCTTCCGATTACTCACCCATTTGGGGTGTGCTAATTCTCAAGTGATGTAATCTAATCATGGAAATCTCGTTGAAGTCGCGTGTAATCGAAAGAATCGACGACGACTGAATGTTGCTGAGTAATCGAGGACGAGCGAGAGAAAAAGAATTCTGACATTCTTAACCTTCACGCGTTAGATTATTCAGCCCTGAACCATGGTCTTCTGTTTATGAAGCCAAAATAGTGTAGCGGACTCGTATGTAGTTATGCACGATATTATGACCCACTATTTCGATCAGCTGGCTGTTCGGCTGCAATCGTAGGTTGGAACAAGAATCAGATTAGGATCAAAATGGAATTATGCGTATATTGTTTTGTCCCCGTAGTTGTTAGATTTGGAAGAGAGGAAGATTTTCTTGTGGTTTTACGTTTCAGGTTTCCTCTCGTGGGACAAGGACAGCTGTCATGTAGATTTAGAAAAAGAATTACTGGCATTGGTAGCACAAGCTCCCGAAGGAGAAGAAGCTAGGAATGGTATTGTCACAATAATTGCACGATACTTTTTCCTCCTATTATTCGTTGTTGTGTAAACGTTCTTTCTTCGAATAAGAGAGAGATGAATTTTTGCAGGCGAACGATTGATCCAGTACGCTACCGAGAACCTTGTTACGGAAGTTCTTATTCATCCCCAAACGAACACGTTATTACAGTGTATCCGTAATCTCCTCGCAAGTTTCACGAAACATCGACATATTATACACGCTGGCTATACATTTGGCGGAAATGGTTCCTGGATACTGCAAGTACGTATGACTGTTGTTGCCTGTGTGCATTTCTGTTGGAAGGTGTGTTTTATGTGCGCATTAGCGTAGCAAAAAGCATATTTCGTTTTCCTTTCAGGATGGAACCTTTAGCCTTGCCGATTTTCTGGATGCGTTCAGTGAACACGAAGTGCAAAGAGTTCTTCGCGCCTATGAGAACAGCGTCACGGTCGACATTCATTGCGCGGGTGTTGGCGATTGGACAACAAACAGACTGTCGAAAGAAGCTTGCACTAGGTTTGCTTAGATCATTTTCACGGAATCGAGAGTTTTGTCGAATGGAATGATTTAATGTGAGAGGGGCACGTTCCCATTTTCTCGTAGATCGTGCAGAGTCCGTGTAAATCCCGATGACGTTCTCACTGCTGGATTAGCAGCCATCACGAGCTTCACGAACTACGTTGGACAGTATCTCGTGAGCCAGACGCTGGATCAACTTATGGAGCCGTCTGATGTAGTAGGCAACATTAGATTTAGTCATCCAACTTTGTACGTCTTCCCTGGCGGCCAAGGCGATGCCGCACTATTCGGCATAAATGGGTTTAACATGTTGGTGGACGGTGGTTTCGCCAGAAAGGCCTGTTTTTGGGACTTTACCAGACATTTGGATCGGCTAGACGCGGTCCTAGTTACTAGAATAAATAACAGCAATGTCGGTGGCATGTCTAGTGTTCTTCGTAAAAAGAAGGAGATGCACGTTTATCCTCAAATCGGGCACTTCTTCTGCAACCTAGTGGTAAGTAGAAAACACACGCACACGCGTGCATTGGTGTTGGTAGTTGGTGGTTGGTTTTAAGGTCCTGTAAAGGTCTAGCATCGATGTTAATATTCGTGTGACGTAACACAGGAGAGAAGACAATCCAATTCACCGGACGGGGACAAAGACATCGATCCTCTGATCTTGAATCTGAGCGACATCGGGCAAGAGATGGTCGTAAATCTCCGTCACATCAATCTGCGGGCGCATCCGTGTTACAGGGACCCGGAGCCGATCAATCTCTATCACAAAGTGGGCCACGGCACGTTGGACATGTACGCGCTGAGCCCGAACAAGGATAATCGGGAAGTCAGGGAGTTTCTAGCGAAGTGGCATTCCTCCGATTCGAAATTATTCGCCGGTGGTCACAAGAAAGACTCGAACAATTTAACGTTTCCAATTCAGAATCTCGTGTCGATTTGCGCGCTGTTGGTTTGGCAACCAGCTAACCCGGAGGATACTATTACGAGAATCCTATTCCCGGGAAGTACGCCGCAACAGAAGATTTTCGAAGGTTTCGAACGACTGAAACATTTGGAGTTCCTAAAGCATCCAGTTTGTTCGACAAAGAGCCTTTCCACGTCCGTCTCGTTGGCTGGAACGTTGCGTGACAAACCAGCGAAACAGAAGATGAGCCTGATCGAGAAGGAGCCGTCAAAGAAGCTGATGACGGATGGGAAAAAGGAGAAGAAGGAATTGGCGGAGATGCGAACGGTGAAAGCCGGCGGCGAAGAATCACCGCCAAAGACCGCGGAGAAACAACAGGGGACACCGATTATTCCTACGAAACCATCGGCGGTTAGTAAAGCTGAGACTAAGCCGAGCAAGAAGGTGGTGGAAAACAAAAGGATAGAAGTAGAGGGAAGGGAGAGCAAAAAAGTGCCGGAAAAGGAATCGAAGGAGGCGAGGAAGGAGGCCGCGAGAAGAGGGACGGAGAAACAGCCACCGGTAGAGAAGCAGACGGAGGAGAAGCTGGAGAAACGCGAGGATGAGGAAGAGGAAGAGGAGGAAGAGGAGGAGAAGGAGGAGGAGAAGGAGGACGGTGGTGTGGTCGCACAGAAAAAGCCGGAACTGATGAAGCGAGAGGCTCCTGTAGTGAAGGAGTCGAAACCCAGAGGGGGAGAGGCAACGAGAAAGAAAGAAGCAAAAGCGAAAGGTGGAAAGATGACGATGGAGACAAAAGTGTCGTCCAAGTTTGTCGAGAAGAAAACGAAACAGTCGGCCACGGAGAAGAAGGATGGCAGTGCTGGTGTGACGGTGAAATCGTCACCGACCACACCGAAGAAAACTGTGAACGGTGTGGCGACGAAAACGGAGATATCGAAAACGAGTAGTGTGTCGAAGGGTGGAAAGCAGCAGCAGCATATCGGTCAGAGAATGGCGGGTGCACCGCCGGCGAAAAGCACGAAAGACGCGAATAACAGGAAGGTGGTGGAGCAAAAGAAGATTGAGAAATCGGCGATAAAAGAGAGGAGTGGTGGTGCACCGATCGGCACTACCACCACCACCGCCGCTGGTATGGTTAAGGTGTCGGCGAAACCGAAACCAATGGAGAGAAAACCGATCAGTCGTCGGGGGAAGCCGGTTAGCCCGAGCAAAATTCGAGTACCAGGGAGCCCGGCGAAATCGACGCGTAGCACGCCAACCACTTCCGTTAAATCCGACAAAGACGGTGTCGTCCGTAAAGTGACGAAGAGCGACAAAGGTACCGCAGACTCGTCCACGGTCTCCACACCGTCTGGAATCGAAGCCGAGACTGGAGGAGTTAGACTGGTGGAAAAGAGTCTGATGGAACAGTCGGAGGACATTTCGTTAGATTCGATCGAGAGTAAAGTGCTCGCCGATCTAAAGGAAGAACGAGAAGTGGTCGAGGAGATCGAGGCGGTGCTTCAAAAAGCAGAACGCATCGAAGAGACGAGGAAGGACGATCGTTCCGAGGGAGACGACGAGATCACGGCGGAACTGACCGATAAGAAGGAGGAGGATATCACGGAAGATGACATAATCGAGGCCGATATCGAGGATTCGTCGTTGAAACTGGCGGACACATATAACAAAAAAGGCATGCAGGATTTGATCCACCAATATTTGATCTTCGACAAGGAACAAGATTACACGGAAGACTCTACCCAGAGTGGTGAAGGTGAGCAAAAACACGTACTGGACGAGGCTGAGTCGGAGAAGGCAAAGATGCTGAAGGACATGGAGCTGGTGAAGGAGAAGGGTGCGGAGGAGGAGGTCGAGGAAAAGGAAAAGGACGAGAGCCTAGAGAAACGACGCGAGTCTGGTCCGAAAGCAGTTACGGAAACGTTGCTGAAAGCCGAACGGGAAAAGCTGGGGAAGAAGGATGAGAAGGAGGTGGAGGAAGAGGAAGAGGAAGAGGAAGAGGAGGAGGCTGGTGGTACAGAGCCGATCGATTTGTCGCCGCAGGATCGCAAAGAACAATTAGAAGAAGAGGTGGAGAGGGTTGCGAAGAAAGAGGCGGTGGCAGCGATCGCTTCTAAGGCGGCGCCAGTACCGGAGGAAATGGTGCAACAGAGACTGGAAGAGAAGGATGATTCGGGCAAGAAGGATAGCGAGGACATCAAGGAACCGTCGAGTTTCAGCCCAGACAAATTGGATTCGTCCGAGAAGAAAACCACCGATACCGACTTGAAACCAGAAGCCGACCAGAAAGAACAGATTCCGGAAAAGTTGGAGGAATCACAGGAGCGAATTTCAACGTTGGAATCTGGCGCTACGACCACGGCACCGACACTTCCGGAGGACGAGCGCATACCGCTCGACGAGATAAAAGAGGACATTGACGAGAAGCACATCGTCGAAAAGGTGAAGGAGAAAGATGTGCGTCCAGCCAAAGAAGACGCGAAAGAGGAAGAGAAGGTAGTGGGTGCGGTTTCTCCGCGTGCCACCATCGTATTACCATCGGTAGCTGCGGCTGCGAAACCCGAGGTACAGGTGTTCGACGTACGGCAAGCGGTACAGTGTCTGCAACGCGACATCGTGAAAACCCCGGACGAGGTGGCCGATCTGCCGGTACACGAAGAGGTTGATCCTAAATTGTACAGAATGGAGGACTTTGAAAAGGATAAAGAGGAGAAACCATCACCGTTACCACCACCACCGCCACCACCGCCACCGACCGCGCAACAAGTCAAAGAGCCTCCTACACCACCAGTTAAGGAACAGAAAGGCGTTTTCAGCTTTTTCGGCAAGGTTGCCGACAAGTTTGAGAAAGGCATCGATAAGTTGACTAAAAAGTCGAAGAAGGATCAAGAGAAGGAAACGCCCGATGAGAAGTCTTCTTCGAAATCTAGTTCGCCGAAGGAAGCGAAGGTATACGGAGAGAAGACTGTTCCCTCTGAAGAGGTCGACATGGAGAAAATGTTCCCGAAAGTGAGTACTAAACAAGCCCCGAGCGAGAAAGCGAAAGAAGAGGCAGTGGTCGACGAAGTAACGGAGAAGAGAATCGAGGCAGCAATGCTGATTGAGTCGAAATCGCCTGTCGCCGACGCGACGAAGGAGAGTAAAGCTACGATGCTGAAAGATGATGAGGCTGTTCGATCGATGGAGCAAATCGAGAAGCAAAAGGAGGTGCTCGTCGAGCCTCGTAAAGAAGAGGATTTCGCGGAAGGAGTCGAAGAAGAGGCAGAAGAGATAAAGGCACTCCTTGAAGAAGCTTCGAAGAAGTTTAAGACTGTGAAGGATAGCCTGAGGGATTCGTTGGAGTCGTTGGAGGAGAAGATAGGAGTTGACGAAACGGTCGATTTACCACATGATGTGCCATCACCGGTGAAGGACGTTGTGAAGGATACGTTGGAAGGCGTAGTGGAAAAATTGGAAGCGATCAAGCCACAGATCGAAAGCGTGGTGTCGCCTGACAGCAAAGAACCAGAGAAAGTGAAATTCGACGTTCGACCGAGGGACGAGGAAGAAGTTGTTCAGGCAGTCGAGGAGGAGAAGGAAGAGCCGGAGGAAGCACCTGCGAGAGACGTTAAAGAGGCTGTTCGTGATGTCGGCGAAGTTCTTGCGGGAACAGCTGGTATCGATATCGAGGAAAAACCTAGAGACGTAACGGAGATTGTGAGAAAAGTTGCTCAAGTCTTGAAGGAAGACGATTTCATTCCGGACAAAGCATTCTTCGACCAACCAACAACGACGACCACCACCACCATCACCAAAGAAAAAGAAGAAGTCGTGTCGCCGATTGTTGCTAAATCGCCATTACTGGAAGATGTTTCCGACGAAATCTTGCCCGACAAACTAACCAAAACTGACGACGAGAAAATTGCTGTCTCACCGATACCAACGGCGATGCAAGCTCACGAGGAGCCTTGCGTGAAAGTGGTTAAGGAAGCAGAGGCGATCACGTCACCAAGTGATAAAGCGGCAACGTACGAACCACAGGATAAGCGCGATACCAAAGAAATTTGCGAGGAAATACTTAAGAAAACGGTGGAAGAAGATTCGCGTGCCGTTTCTGATATCGTTAAACCGTGTATAACACCCCCCAAAATGGATGTGATGGAGGCAGGAATGGAAGACGTTTGCGTGAGGGAAACGGTGAAAACAGAGGATGAACAAGTTGCAGAAGAAATAGAAGAGGAGAAAGAACCGGTGATAGGCTTCGATCGAAAGATCTCACCCGCGGAAGCGGAAATTGTAACGGTCTCGCCCGGTTCAACGCCGACCTCGCCGAAATTTTTCACGGACAAAATGCCCCAGGGCAAATTAGAGTTGAGCAAAGAAGTGGCTGCTGCGGTTTCGGATCACCAGTTGCCAACCGAGATAAAGGCTATTGTTAACAGAGTGGATTGGATGCTGGAAGAAATTATCGTTGAACTCGTTTCGGCGAAAAAGAGAATTACAATCGAGATCATAGAATATATTACAATGGTTAAACGCGTCCCGAGGGAACGTGTGATATATATTATCGAGGAGATTATCGTAAAGAAAAAACTTTCTAGGGAGGACGTTGTCGACAACGTTGATATCTTCAAACTCGACGATTCGATTACGCCTGAATTGAAAACAGAGCTCGAGGAGTACATTATCGAGGAATACGTGAGAAAAGGAAAATGCATTACCATTCAAATAGTCGAGGAAATCTCCATGAAGATGGTTATTCCGAGAACGATCGTGATTCGCATTATTCAGGAGATTATTGCTAAAAAGTTGATCGACGTTCGTACGGATGGACTGTTTGATACTGCCGTGAAAGATGTGCGAACAGCCGAAAAACCAGAGGAAAGAGAAGAAGAGGAGAAACTGGAAATAGAGGTGAAGGAGATGAAAGAGGTATCACCTATCGATGATGCGACTGTATCTGTACTAGTCAAGCTGGAGAAAGAATCGGGTGTAGAAACGAAGGAGAAAGAGACTGTGGAAGTAGCACCTTCTTTGTTGTCCAAGGAGAATCAAGGGGTAGAGGAGGAGGAGGAAGATGTAGATGAAGATGGTTTCGTTAGTATCGGTAGAAGAATTTCAAAAGAAGTGATACAAGTTGAGGAAGGCAAAGCCATGGTAGCAGAAGGAGCAGTTTCAGTTAAGCCAGAACATGTGAAAGAAGCTGCTATTCAGAAGAGACACGAAAAAGATATCACCGACGACTTCGAGGCTGTTGAACAGGAATATAAGGTGCGCGATGTAATCCTCGAAGATGTCAAGTCACGCCTGACTTCGTCAAAGAGCGACGCCGCCGAGACAAAGGAACGAGAATATGAAGTGGAAGAAGCTATCGAAGACACGACGGTGAGCGATGTTGTTGAAGCCGATGAAAAGTTTGTGCACGAAACGAAAGATAAAGCAGAAAAAATGAAAGAGTCGACCATTGTGGAAAAGGAGAAAGGAAAAATAGAAATAGAGCAGAAGGAATCGAAGGATTCTGACATAACGTCAGAGACAACCGAAGCCTCAGAAACTCTCGATACCGTGGAGAAATATCTAGACGAAGCCAAGGAGAAAAAGGAAGAGAAAAAAGTGGTCGAAGAAAAACCGGCGGGAGATGTAATTAAACCTTTAACTGAGAAAGAGAAAGAAACAACAAAATTCGACAAAGTGTCATTCGTTGACAAACAACCAGATGAACAGCAGCCCGATGATAAACAGAAATCGATGGAGAAAGATAGGAGAGAGTTGAAAAGACCAGAGAAGGAAGAGGAGGAGGACAAAGAGAAGAAAGTAGAACCACCGACTAAGGAAACGATAAAGGCAATCAAGGAGCCTCCTCTAACCAAAGAGGCTGAACTAGTTGAACAGGTTGAACGCGTTGAAACTACAGCGACTCCATTGGACAAACAGAGGCAAGAAGGAGAAAAAGAAATAGTGACGAAGGAAGCTGCTCCGATGAAACCGGAAGCGGCGAAAAGAAGCGAGGGTGTTCCTGAGAAGGGAAGTAGTCCTGAGGAAGAATCTGCTAAGATTGCGTCCTTGGTTAAAGAAGAGAAACGCGTCGAAGAGATGTCACCGTCTGAAACACGAGTAGAGATCGAACAAGATGCAGGATCTGTTAGACGAATGCTGGTCACCGCGAGTAGCGAAGACGGTGGGCATGAAACGGAAATTTGCGCAGCGGGTACAATCGCGTTCGTAAAAACCGTCACACCCGATGATGATTCTCTGAAAGATGCGTCCGTAAAGTCAACGTCCGATAAAGATTCTTTGTTGTTGGACAAAGATTCTCTGCACTCTGGAATAAGTAGTCCGGAAAAGGATAGCATTTCCGAAAAATTGGCGAAAGACGTTGGAAAAGTAACGTCCGAAGATAGCCTGGACAAATCGCCAATCGACGCTCACGACTCGCACGATCTCCAAGATAGTTTAGAGAAAGTAGAAATTGATAAATCGAAAGAAGCAGACAGTAGCACTTCTCCCTCTATTATCGACGCAGAAACTCCAAAGTCTCCACAGCAACAGGAGCAACCACAACCACAACCACAAGAACCGCAAGCACAACTAGAGTTAAAGGCCGTTGAGAAAGAATTACAGTTTGAAGGCACTGCACCAATCACCGACAAAATTCGGTCCATCGAATCACCCGCCGACACGGCGGTAGCTGTGGCCAAGATATTGGATGTTGGTGTTAGTGGAAAGGAAGAAAAAACAGAGATAGAAGTATCGAAATCAGCAGTAGAATCGGCTCGATCGGAGGACATTTTACCAGTAGAGACTATTTTTGCGAAGTCGCCTATTTATAAATCAGAGGAGGAATCGATGGTGAAAATTTCAGTTGATGTAAAAGATATAGAATCGATAAAGTCGACAACGTCACCATCGATCTTAAAGACGACCATGTCTATTGCAAAATCTGAAATAACCGAAACACCGAAAACTTTCGACAAAAAAATAGCGACAGAGTCGAGTCGAATCGAAGAAACTACACAGGACGTAGAAAAAGTTCACGACGAGTCTACCATTGGTGAAAAAGAAGATGAGAAAGAAATTGACAGCGTACCGTGTCAAGAAATATCCAAAGAAAAACAGATCCCGAAAGCCACTATCGATGTTGACAAGGAGGACGACGGTGGAAAGTCAGAAAAGAAAGATACGGATGGAAAGTTACCGTCTCTGAGTCTTATTGGTAGCGATAAAGCTAGTGATTTGCAGCAAGTAATCGAGGATACAAAAATGGAAGAGAAGAAACTTGGCGACTCGGATCAATCAAAGTTACCGATTACTACACCTGAGGATAAGTCTGAGTCAGTGACTATAGACGTGAAAGTGACAAGTGATGCTTTGGAATTAGCATCAAAGACGCCAAGTATCGAAGATGATGAGCAGCAACTGGTGGACAGGTCTCTATCTGCTAGCGTTGCGAGTGCTGTCAGTCAACATGAAGAGGAGGTAATAAGCGATAAAGTGCTGGTAACAACCACCACGACTACTACGGTAGATGGAACTTTCGAAAAATTGGACGAAAAGAAACCACACGAATCGATAGTTGCCAGCATTTCTGTCGATCAGAGGAAAGAGACGGCTGTGCAACATTTACCTACGGAGAAGCCAAAGTCTCCTCTTATCGAGGAACGAATTCCAGAAGCTGACATCATCCATGAATCCTCTTCCGGTGTAATTAGCTACGTGACGGAAAAAGAAAGGGAAGTCGGGGAACAGGAGGACGTCACAAAACAACTTGGGGAAAAAATAAAAGAGGACAAGGAGTCGAGAACGTCAGATGAGTCAAAGTCGCGTATTACTCCAAGAAGCAGCATTTCCGAAACTGTTACTGCAATATTAGAGGGAAAAAAAGATGTCGAAGAAAGTTTGGTGGACGAAACGTCGAAAAGTCGTCTGAGCATATCTAGCGTGCAGACTGAATCTGAAGAATTGACAAAACGGGACTTTAAAGAAGATGATGGAAAACTGAGCGAACCGGTAGAACACACGAAAGAGCCATCACCAAAATCACCAAGTGAAGTGCCTTATTTGAAGGATGTTCACGGAGTGCAAATCGACGAGTCTAAATCTTCTAGTGTATTAAGTATTTCTGGCGAATCAAAAGATGCCGAAGACCACCGTTCAGCAGAGATGAAAGATACAGAGCCACGAATATCTGAAGAACCAATGTCGCCAGATGATGGAACTGTGGTGCTTGGAGAAAAGAAGGAAACAGTGGACCATTCAAAGTCTCCTAGTATTACCGAAGAAGTGGCTGATATGAAAGACGTCGAAGCAAAAGTAATCGAAAAGGTTGAATCGCCGGGCGCGATCGCAATTGTTACCGATGACGAGATGAAAGAAGCAGCAGCGGATCGTTCAAAATCACCGAGCGTTGTTAGCGAACTGGAAGTTCCGAGAGATAGCGACAAAACGAGATCAGCCAGTGTAACGAGTATTCACGCGGAAACAGCGAAAGAAACAGCACTTACACCAACGTCAACGAGCGTTGAAGCAGATGAAGCAGCCGATCTCAAAGAGGTTGATAGAACAACGATAATTGACAAGTTCAGATCTTCCAGTATAACCGGTACTCCAGCGGAGAAATCAAAATCGCCAAGCATTGCTGGTGACGTTGCTGATTTGACGGATATTGATGCAAATGCAACCGACAAGACTAGATCACCTAGTATTGCAGCTGCCATGCCTGCTGATAAATCAAAATCACCAAGCATCGCTGGCGATATACCTGAATTGACGGATGTTGAGGAAAAACCCATTGACACGTCACGGTCACCCAGTGTCACAAGTGTTTCAACAGAGCAGCAGCCGATGAAAGAAACATCGCCTAGCATTGCTGGTGACATTGTTGATATGAAAGATATCGATATAAAAGAAATGGATAAGCCACGGTCACCATCAAGTGTAACCAGTTTTGTAGCAGAGCTGGAAGAGGCAACAATCGACAAATCAAAATCTCCTAGTATTGCTGGCGACGTTATTCCCGATTTAAAAGATGCCGCTGCCGATACGAAGGTAACTGACAAGTCCAGATCACCCAGCGCAACAGACGTTTCAACGGAATCGAAGGAAGTAACGGACAAATCAAAGTCGCCGAGTATTTCAGGCGATGCTGCTGATTTCAAGGATGTTGATACGAAAGCAATCGAGAAATCCCGATCACCGAGTGTAACAGCTGTCCCATCAGAAGCGAAAGAGCCGCAAGACAAATCAAAGTCTCCCAGCGTTGCTGGTGACATTCCCGATTTGAAGGATGTCGCTGCCGAGACGAAAGTAAGTGACAAGTCCAGATCACCCAGCGCAACAGACGTTTCAACGGAATCAAAGGAAGTAACGGACAAATCAAAGTCGCCCAGCATTTCAGGCGACGCTGCTGATTTCAAGGATGTTGATACGAAAGCAATCGAGAAATCCCGATCACCGAGTGTAACAGCTGTCCCGTCAGAAGCGGAAAAAGCGCAAGACAAATCAAAGTCGCCGAGCATTGCAGGCGACGCTCCTGATTTCAAGGATGTTGATACGGAAGCAATCGAGAAATCCCGATCACCGAGTGTAACAGCTGTCCCGTCAGAAGCGGAAAAAGCGCAAGACAAATCAAAGTCGCCGAGCATTGCAGGCGACGCTCCTGATTTCAAGGATGTTGATACGGAAGCAATCGAGAAATCCCGATCACCGAGTGTAACAGCTGTCCCGTCAGAAGCGGAAAAAGCGCAAGACAAATCAAAGTCGCCGAGCATTGCAGGCGACGCTCCTGATTTCAAGGATGTTGATACGGAAGCAATCGAGAAATCCCGATCACCGAGTGTAACAGCTGTCCCGTCAGAAGCGGAAAAAGCGCAAGACAAATCAAAGTCGCCGAGCATTGCAGGCGACGCTCCTGATTTCAAGGATGTTGATACGAAAGCAATCGAGAAATCCCGATCACCGAGTGTAACAGCTGTCCCATCACAAGCGAAAGAGCCGCAAGACAAACCAAAGTCTCCCAGCGTTGCTGGTGATATTCCCGATTTGAAAGATGTCGTTGCTGATACGAAGGTAATAGACAAGTCCAGATCACCTAGCGCAACAGACGTTTCAACGGAATCGAAGGAAGTAACGGACAAATCAAAGTCGCCAAGCATTTCAGGCGACGCTGCTGATTTCAAGGATGTTGATACGAAAGCAATCGAGAAATCCCGATCACCGAGTGTAACAGCTGTCCCGTCAGAAGCGGAAAAAGCGCAAGACAAATCAAAATCTCCCAGTATTGCTGGTGATATTCCCGATTTGAAGGATGTCGCTGCCGAGACGAAGGTAACTGACAAATCCAGATCACCTAGCGCAACAGACGTTTCAACGGAATCGAAGGAAGTAACAGAGAAATCAAAGTCGCCGAGCATTTCAGGCGACGCTGCTGATTTCAAGGATGTTGATACGAAAGCAATCGAGAAATCCCGATCACCGAGTGTAACAGCTGTCCCGTCAGAAGCGGAAAAACCGCAAGACAAATCAAAGTCTCCCAGCATTGCTGGTGATATTCCCGATTTGAAGGATGTCGCTGCCGAGACGAAGGTAACTGACAAGTCCAGATCACCTAGCGCAACTGACGTTTCAACGGAATCGAAGGAAGTAATGGACAAATCCAAGTCGCCGAGCATTTCAGGCGACGCTGCTGATTTCAAGGATGTTGATACGAAAGCAATCGAGAAATCCCGATCACCGAGTGTAACAGCTGTCCCGTCAGAAGCGGAAAAAGCGCAAGACAAGTCAAAATCTCCCAGTATTGCTGGTGATATTCCCGATTTGAAGGATGTCGCTGCCGATACGAAGGTAACTGACAAATCCAGATCACCTAGCGCAACAGACGTTTCAACGGAATCGAAGGAAGTAACGGACAAATCAAAGTCGCCAAGCATTTCAGGCGACGCTGCTGATTTCAAGGATGTTGATATGAAAGCAATCGAGAAATCCCGATCACCGAGTATAGCAGCTGTCCCGACAGAAGCGAAAGGACCGCAAGACAAATCAAAGTCTCCCAGCGTTGCTGGTGACATTCCCGATTTGAAGGATGTCGCTGCCGAGACGAAGGTAACTGACAAGTCCAGATCACCTAGCGCAACAGACGTTTCAACGGAATCGAAGGATGTAACGGACAAAACAAAGTCGCCGAGCATTGCAGGCGACGCTCCTGATTTCAAGGATGTTGATACGAAAGCAATCGAGAAATCCCGATCACCGAGTGTAACAGCTGTCCCGTCAGAAGCGGAAAAACCGCAAGACAAATCAAAGTCTCCCAGCATTGCTGGTGATATTCCCGATTTGAAAGATGTCGTTGCTGATACGAAGGTAATAGACAAGTCCAGATCACCTAGCGCAACTGACGTTTCAACGGAATCGAAGGAAGTAACGGACAAATCAAAGTCGCCAAGCATTTCAGGCGACGCTGCTGATTTCAAGGATGTTGATACGAAAGCAATCGAGAAATCCCGATCACCGAGTGTAACAGCTGTCCCGTCAGAAGCGAAAGAACCGCAGGACAAATCAAAATCTCCCAGCGTTGCTGGTGACATTCCCGATTTGAAGGATGTAGATATAAAAGTACCAGAAGAATCTAGACCTAGTCCCAGTGTAACGGATGCATCAGAGAAAGCAACAGAGGAAGCAGCTGAGAAATCTAAGACGACCAGTATCGTTGCAGACGTTGCTGGGGATACGAAAGACGATGACGAAAAAAGAATGGGCAAATCTCGGTCGGCCAGCGTAATTAGTGTTTCAGCAGAATTAAAAGATACCATGGATAAGTCTAAGTCACCTAGCATTGCTAGTGACATACCTGATATGAAAGATGCCGAAACAAAGGCAGACGAGAAGTCTAGATCACATAGTGTCACAGATGTTCCTCTAGAACCAAAGGATGTATCGTGGGACAAGTCTAAGACCCCGAGCATCGCTGATGATATAACCGATTTGAAAGATATTGATGAAAAGAGTATTGAGAAATCTAGATCAGCCAGCACGACGTATGTTGCAGCAGAACAGAAGACAACAGCAATGGATAAATCCAAGTCTCCGAGTATTGCTGGTGATGTTCCTGGATTGATGGACGTTGTCGATGGAGAAACATTTGACAAGTCTCGGTCGCCTAGTGTCACGAGCGTTTCAACAGAGCATCAGCTGATTCAGGAAGTAACGGATAAATCAAAGTCGCCCAGCATTGTTGGAGACGAAATGCCAACAGGTTTGAAAGACGGTGATGTGAAAGTAATGGAGAAATCTAAATTATCTAGTGTTATAACGGATACAGTACCCTCGAAATCGAAGGACGTTACCGATGAGTCAAAGTCGCCCAGCATTGCTGGCGATATCGCTGACTTAAAAGATGTCAATGCTAAAATAATTGACGAGCCGCGTTCGCCTAGTGTCATTAGCGTTACAACGGAGCCGAAAGCCATGACGGACACGTCAAGCTCACCTAGCATTGCTAGTGATATTCCCGACGTGAAAGACGTTGACAGCAAAGTAATCGAAAAATCCAGATCACCTAGTATAGCAGAGGTTACTGCAGCTGATAAATCGAAAACACCCAGCGTTGTTAGCGATTCACCCGACCTGAGGGATGTCGATACGAAAACAATTGACAAATCCAGATCACCCTGTGTAATGGCGGATGTTGCAGTAGAGCCGATGCTCACAACGGACAAGTCGAAGTCACCTAGCATCGCTGGTGACGTCGTTGATTTCACGACAGAGACTGACACGAACGTCGATGACAAGACTAGATCGCCTAGTTTGACAGACGTTTCTACCAAAACAGAGTCGGACAAGTCAAAATCGCCAAGCATCGCAAGTGATATCCCAAACTTGAAGGATATTGATATAAAGACAGTGGAGAAATCCGAATTAGCCAGTACAACGGATAAGTCGAAGTCACCTAGTATTGCTGGAGATCTAGCAGATGTAAAAGATGTTGACGAAAAGCAGATTGATAAGTCTCATTCGGCCAGTGTGACGAGCATGGCAGCATCAGAACGGAGAGAAGCAGAGTTGGACGAGCCAAAGTCGCTAAGCATTGCGGGTGACATGCCAGAGTTGAGGGGTATTGATACAAAGACGGTGGAGAAATCTAGATCACCCAGTGTGACGGATAAATCGAAATCACCTAGCATTGCTGGTGATGTGACGGACGCGATAGATGGAACAGTAATCGACGGATCTCGATCTCCTAGTGTTCCGAGCGACAAGTCAAAGTCTCTCAGCATTTCCGGCGATATTGCCGATTTAAAGGATGTTGCTGCCGATACGGTACTTACATCTAGTGTAACAAAAGCTTTCATGGAACACAAGGAAGCGGTTGATAAATCAAAGTCACCCAGTATCGCTGGTGACATTCTTGAAATGCAAGATGTTGATGCGAAAGCGGTTGACAAGTCTCGGTCGACCAGTGTCACGAGTGTTTCAGCAGAATCAGAAGACACCGTGGACAAGTCAAAGTCACCTAGCATTGCTGGTGACATGCTTGATAAGAAGGATGCCGAAACGAAGGCAATCAAAATAATGCCTAAGTCGCCAAGTGTAACAGACGTTCTTTTAGAACCAACGGATAAATCCAAGTCACCTAGTATTGCTAGTGACGACGTTACCGATTTAAAGGACATCGATAAGAAAGCGAGTGACAAGTCTAGATCGCCTAGTGTAACAGACGTTCCTGTAGGACCAAAGGATAAGTCCAAATCACATAGCATTGTAGGTGATATGATGGCTGGCGTGAAACATGTAGATGCAAAAGTAACCGATGAGTCGTCTCGATCAGCTGCTAGTGTCACAAGCGTTGCGGCAGAGCCGAAGGAAGCAGCATCAAAGAAATCAGGATCACCCAGTATTTCTGCTGGTGACATTGCTGATATGAAGGATGTAGATTCAAAGAAAATGGACAGGTCTAACGTAACAGGTACCCCAGAATCAAAAGAAGCGAGCGATAAATCAAAGTCGCCTAGCATTGCTGGAGATCTGGCAGATATAAGAGACGTTGATGCAAAGGCAATCGGCGTGTCTGGTTTAACCATCAGTGTCACGAACATTGCCGTAGAGTCGGCAGAAGCGGGATTGGATAAGTCAAAGTCGGGCAGCGTTGTTAGTGATATTCCTGATTTAAAGGATGTTGATACGATAGAAATGGACAAATCCAGATCATCACCTAGCGAAGTAACAGATGCTTCCGTGGAATCGAAGAGATCACCCAGGGATAAGTCAAAATCGCCGAGCATTAGTGACGACATGCTCGATTTGAAGGGCATCGACACGAAGGCAATTGATGAGCATAAGCCCACTGAAATTGACCTAACCAAAAAGACTACGGACATTACAACGGACCGGCTGAAATCACCAACAGTTACCGCTGACACTCAGGATGCATGGGCGGATTCCGAAATTGACGACAACAAAAATAGATCCCGATCTCATAGTTTGTACGAGACCGATGTAAAGACTCCTTTGACTAGGTCTAGAGCTACGAGTGTATACGGAGAAACAGAGAAACGTGCAACTGAGCAGACAGATAGTACAGATAAAGAAGAATCGTTCGTTGCTAGTAAAACTGATCTACAGCAGCAGCAGGAGCGAAAGGAGGAGGATGTGAGGCAAGTGTCGGCCGAGAAGGTGGCAGATATCAGAAAGTATATTTTGGAAGAGTATATAAATAAGAAGAAAAAAATCACGATGACGGTAATAGAAGAGATAATTAGGATTTATTCGGTTTCGGAGTTGACAGTAATGAGTATTATAGGGGCGATTATTGCAAGGGAGAAGAAAGATAGAGATTCGGTTTTAGACGTGTCCGTGGAAAAGATAGAAAGACCCGAAGAAGACGGACAGGTAACTGCATCGACACAACAACGGCAGAGAGATGGTGGGAAAGATACGAGCGAAGGTTCAATAAGTTCCAGCTTAAGTTCCGAACTGATTGCTTCCGATAAGTCCACTCAGGACAGTCCCGTGCGTTCTGAACCGCATATCGACGAAGAAATATCAATTTCGGAAGAGAAGCGGATCGAAATGGAGAAGCTTCTGGAAGAGGATTATATTAGGAAAGGAAGGAAGATTACCGAGGAAATTTTGGAGGAGATCATTGCTAGATCCTCCTTGCCCCGGTACATTATACTGGAGATAATCGAAGAGGTGATTGTGAAAAAGAAAGTTTCCCGAGACTCAGTGATCGACGTGGATATCTATCAAGAAGACGAAGAGCCTGAACAGAGTTACGAGAAATGTTCCGAACCGCGATACGAGTTCGCCGACGATCAAAAGAAATTGATGAGTTTTGACGATTACAGCAAACCTGGCGAATATGCCGAACCGCAAGACGGACACATGGAAGCATCGATGTCTGACTATCCAATAAATTACGAGAGCCAGTTTCACAAAGCTTTCATAGGCGGAATGACGGAGATACGCACCACTCATATTACCACGCTCTCGGGAAAATCGACGCCAGACATAACTCGTGACGGTACACCGGACTCTGTTTCCGAACCTAGATAAATCATCTGTCGTGATGAGTAAGTCGTCCGATTTCCACGATTCACCGGATAAAGAATCAATCTCGACAAGTACTACTACTGGTACTACTACGGTCCACGTAACGCAGAGTACATCTATTATGGAAGCGACAGAAATAAAGCCTACGAAACAACAGACAGTTACAATGTTAAAAGAAAGTAAAATCGGAGAACCGGGTGATAAAACCGGATTTACTGTAAAAGTAGGAAGTGATTTGGAGGAGGAGTACGATAGTCTGCCGACGGAAGTTTCGACCGACGACGGTAAATCGGTTATAGTAGTGAAGAGAATCGTGAAACGAGAAGTTTCGGATCAAGAGGAACCGGAAACTATTCGAAAGATAATAAAGCGAGAGATTGTCGAAGTAGGAGAAGAAGAGGAAGAAAAACCGCTAGTCATTACGAAAGTCATCAAACGGGAAATTATCGTGCCTGAAGGGGGAGAACCCTGCGAGGCGAAGGATTTCGAAAGGGTAAAGGAGATGATTGTGAGGGAGGAAAATGTTCCGCAGATCATCGAAACGGTGACAACGAAAACGAAGGAAATCGTGATGACGGAAGAAGATTTAGGAGGAGAGGATAAAACGGATGTGTCGAGCGTTGAGAAAGTTATTACGGAAGATGATGGGTCATCGGTCACCTCGACGACTTCTACGAGTACGGACGTGAAAAAGGTGGTAATAAGCAAGATAATTAGCAAGTCGGACGAAGCGGTAAAGTCGAAGAAAGAGGTTAAAGAATCATCATCATCACCACCGTTATCCTCTTGCCGCGAACAAGAAACGACGATTAAAAGCAGCATCATCAAGTCAAAGGATGATTTGACCAGAAAACAAGATATAGAGGAGAAGAGAGAAGAAGAGATGAAACAAGCGCAAAAAGATAGACGTCCAGTGTCTCCTCTTGTACGTGACATTGTTTCCGGAAGATCTACGCCTGACAGAAAATCCGACGGTGGTAGATCGTTGACAGGAACGCCGGAAGGTTTTCGATCGGGCGAGGTGATCAGAACGATCATCACTACAACGAAGACAGTGTCGGACGACGGAGAGATCATAACGACCACCAGAGAAGTGACGGAAACGACAAACGAGAAGGGCGAGACGGTGATTTTGGCGGAGAAAGTCGACGTGAAAGTGGATGAGTATCTGCCTAGCAAAGATATGGCAGAAACTGCAATCGGTAGCGTGATCTCATCACCGTCTTCTACCGCTCGTCAGCTAAAAGAAGCAACGTTGACAGGATTTCCCGCGGCCGCGATGAGTAGCAGTTTTTACGGTGAATTGCCCGTTGTTCCACCTGAAATCGCTGCCACGAAGAAATTGCACGAAGACATCGAGATACAACTGGAGCAACAACAGCAGCAGCAACAAGGTGACGACTACTCGTTTAAACGGTTCACCGTGGAGAAAGAGTACGCTGGCGATTACAAGGAGAAACCCGATGCGAAAAAGTACATCGACGAAGCTGATCTTGACTTTGAGAAAGCACTGATGATGGAACGAAAGAAAACGAAAGAACCTGAATCGAGCGGGATTGGAGATATATCAACGAAATACACGAACGGTAGCGTGCGTCAGAAAACATCCGAGGAGGAGAAAGCGAATGAACCTGCCGGGGAAGATTCGAGGAGCGATTCAAAGAAGGATCCTCTAACCGGATGGGGAACTCCTTTGGGCCTTCCATCCCCTGTACCGCCACAAAAGTTTAACCTGAAACATGCGACGCAACCAAGTAATTCCACCGAGCGGTCTTCTATTAGTATGATGATGATGACCCCCTCCACCTCGAACGATAACGACGTGGCTCTCAAGTTCGACGCCATCAACGACTGGGGTGTACCGCTCAGATTACCTTCACCTGCTCCTGTGACCAATGAAATTTCCAACAAGGGTGCTCCGGGAACACCTAAGAAGGAAAAGAAGCAAGCAAGAAAGGTTTTATCTGAGAATCTCAAAAACAAAAAGCGTTCAGAGAGCCCGGGAAAGAACGAGAAGAAGATAAAAGATTCGAAGAATAAAGTACAACCGGTCTACGTTGATTTAACCTATGTGCCCCATCACGGAAACTCGTATTACACGTCTTTGGACTTTTTCAAGAGAGTTCGCGCGAGATACTATGTGTTCAGCGGTACAGAGCCAAGTCGTGAAGTCTACGACGCGTTGTTAGAGGCGAAACGTACTTGGGAAGACAAAGATCTGGGTAAGCTTCGAATTAATTTTTTTTATCTGTCGGTAATGCGACTCGATCGATTTATGCACGATTAATGGGTTTCTTATTGTTTAGAGGTGACCATGATACCAACTTACGATACGGATACATTGGGCTACTGGGTGGCCGACAACGAAGAGGCACTTGCTGCGAATCATATTGATCTTTCACCTTCAGCGTCCCGATGTACGATTAACCTTCAGGACCACGAAACTAGCTGCAGTGCCTACAGACTCGAATTCTAGGGATTGGCAGCCTGCTCAGCCGTAATAGTTGAGTTCTGAGCGGTGTTCAGAAAGTGTACGCCATCGTTTCGTTTCTGGACCTACCGTTTCGTGAATTCCTCATCGTGCCTATTAGCGGCTCCTGAAACTTTAGAGAATCTCAAGGAGAGGCTGTCTCGCGAGCCGTTTGGCTGTGCCCGTTTTGCTATTCCAATTTCGTGCCTAATTCCGTATCAACTAACGTGCAGTTGTTCCTTTCTTTTTCATGCACGCACTGATCGAATCGCCAACAATAACAGCAGCAGCAGCAGCAGTAGCAGCATTAGCAACAACATCCACAACAACAATGATGACGACGAAGACGACGACAACAACAACAACAACAACAACAACAACAACAACAACAACATGCTCTCCTTGTTCTCGTTTCTTTTCTTCCTTTCGTCGTTTCTAATTAAATGTGCTCCATATATTCAATGAAAAATTTGATTAAAAGCTGACACGAAATTTATGCATTAAAAGCTCTGTGATAAACGGAGCCGCTTCCCTGTTCTTAATTATTTGAAGTTATTCGTCAGTTATTGGCGAAGCTTAGACACGCTCGGAGTAGAGAGAGGGAAGGAGAGAGAGAGAGAGAGAGAGAGAGAGAGAACGAGAAAGAGGAACGGAAGGAGGGAGGGAGAGAATGTTTAACCTCTCCGAAGCGGCCTCTCCTTTGCGCCATAACCAACCATCCCTTTTGGATGGTTTCCGCTTTTAAAGCATCGTATGGTATTCCTCCTCGTATTAGACGAATCCTAAGAAACGAGTTTAACAATGCGACAGCAACCGCAGAAACACAACGCAACACAGCCTATAATAATAACACGGACAAGACGTACAAAAGTAAATAGAATCAGATAGCACGTACGCATAATGAAGAGAAGAAAAGACAAAGGCGTCCTCGATAATGATGACGATGACGATGACGAAGGGAAAAAAAAATGAGAAGGAGAAACGGAAATAAAAAGAATACATACAAACGAATCTTACGTTGTCTGAAATCTCTGGCTTTCGGGGGATCGATTCGAACTTGAATAATCTGGTCTGCGTCCAACGATGATTTCTCAAGGTTGTTCGCGATCGTAGATCAACAACCACCCCTTCTTGTCGTAAATGTCTACTTGTGCATAGAAATAAACGATTATTATACATATACACCGGGAAGTACTAGATAGGAATTATCTGTGTCGTGTTTCTATACCTTAGAGAACAAAGATTCGTCCAATCGGATGGATCAACGAACGAAGCAGCAACAAAGGTAACAAGAACGTGGAAAGAAGATAATCAATATCGTCGATGCCGAACGCTACTCGCGACGAGTCCATTACGAGGTAGCAGAAGAACCAGGTGAATAATTGGAAGAGAAGGTATACGTACACATGCGTACAAAGAAGAATACGCGCAATCTGCTATAGGGACTGTTTCATCTCGATAGCGATGAAAGTCAAGTATCGGAAGCAAACTTGAGAGGAAGGCGATAACAGTAAAGTCGTACAACATCCATCCAAATGGACAATGTGTCCACGTTCGATAATTGTATCGAAGCGAAGATCTCTGTTTCTGATCGGTGTTTCGTTTCGTTGGTGCGTCAAGGCAGTGAAACACCTTAGAAGATAGAGATACTCGCTCCTATCATAAATCCGTTTGTAGGTATTTTTTAGAGAAGAAGATATTTCATTTCCAAAAACAAGCAAACTACCACTTCCGAGGGGCGAGATAACGAGGGGTGTGAGAAGTGAAAGTTTCAAACGCCCATTATTTTCAAATTAGACCAAATGATAACCGCGGTACCGCGGTGTTGTACCGATGCGATGATAAGCATTGTGTCAGAGGTATTTCGGTGGTTTCATCGCTATACTTTTTTTCTTCCTTCCACCAAGATCTCATAGAATGCGATTATTCTAATATTTGCTCTGAAAGGATTGTTTACTTCCTCTATTCGACGTGTCGCTATCTGCTCAATATCGAAGCATATATCGAAGCAGATTACGAACGACCGTTAAATGTAAAAGAAGCCTTCAGACTACTGCGAGTTGACGAATTGAACTTGTAACAATTTTTTGTACTTACATATTTCCGTTTTCCGCCGAACCACGAGACACGAGGAATTATGTTTGAGTGAGATGACGACGATTACGTTACTATTGCTTGAATGGTGGCGATGATGTACCAATGACAATTACAATAATAACGGAGACATAACGAGGACGAGAAAATTATAATACTTGATGACGATGGTCTTGCGATGATGATGATTTAGGCGGTATTGACTACGACGGCAATGACAACGACAACGACAGTAACGACGGCAGCGCCGATGATGATGATGGTGCTGGCGATGACAGCGATGCCGATGGTCATGATGATGATGATGTTGATGATGACGACGACGATGATGATGATGATGATGATGATGATGATGATGATGATGATGATGATGATGATGATTATGGTCATGGGAATGATTATAAATCCGAAATCTAAAAGGCGAATCGGCGATAATGTTTCGTTACAAGACAAAGTGAATTTTTGCCGCGTTTTCAAGTTTTCGCGTAGATTTGCTGACTTAAAGTACCCAGGGAATACTCAAAGAAAAGGAGTGTGATTTCTCACATGATAAACGTAGCCTTGTAGATTACGCGAATACGTGCTCGAATTCATTACGTTTTAGTCGTTTCTTAATAACAAGAGAAAAAGCAGCAAATGTAAGAATAAATTTATTTTCTGTATAAACACACACGCGCATGCACACACAGAAATAAGAAAAATGTTATCGCTGAACGATAAGAGCGATCTCTATCGACCTATTTAAAATCTATGAACGGCCCTCGATTTCGTACAATTTTAATTGAACTTTTTGAATAATCGCATTTACTCGAGTCGAGTACGGGGGGAGAACCTTAAGAAAAGAAATTTCACGCCGCAGTTTATTGTCTCGGAAATGTTTCGAGAGTATATCGATAAAGGGAAAACAGAGGAAAACTAGAACATTACTACGACAGGCCTATAATATCGAACAGTTTCGAAAGAATCACGGTACACCTCATAGTTGTTATCGTGTAGGTGGTGTGCTTCCATGACGAAACCAGATTCAACTAAGAGGAGAAATGCGCATTCTTCCGATTGCGATTCACTCCGGGTCCAATAAATATTGTAGCTAGCACGTAAGTTACTTATCGATTGTTTATTGTAATTTTCCTCGCAGACATTCGCTTATTTACACCTTGATAGGTATATTTGTTCATTCGTTGGTTCGTTCGTTCGTTCGTTTGTTTCTGTATTTATTTATTTATTTATTCATTTTTCTATCCTTTTTATACTTGCGTTATAGTAAGAAACTTGTATCGGGATTTAGGTTTAAGTTGCTCATGTATATAGAAAAATCGATACGTGATTATCATGAAAGTTTGACGGAGTGAAAGAAAGAGTTAAAAGGGATTATAACATAAGAAAAACTTTGACCTAAACGCATATAATACGTTTGCTATGTGATTAATATTACCATATTTATGACTACTATTATTATCATTGTCATCAGCATCACCATTATTATTTTTACTATTAACATTACTGTGGTTATGTTTATCATCATCATTGTTATTACCATTGTAACTACGATCAATGCCGTAACAACTATTCCCATCATCACCGTGATTAACATAGGAATCATAATTATTATAAGTATTGTCATTTACAGATCGCTATCATTATGACTGCTGATAGTTACCATTTGCATACCGTTAACATCATCATCGTTATTATTGTTGTCGCAAATGTTGTTATAATTGTTGTTGCTGCTGTTGTTGTTACGTTGTTATTGTTACCATCATCATCAACATGGTGATATCGTCATTGTCATCATCGATCACTGTTCGTGCGAGAACAGTTCGAATGGAGAAGGGTTCGTTTCCTCGTGATGAACAAGCGGAGAATGTAAAGGTGCGATGGCAATGAATCATCATGTACCTATGTATTTATGTATTATCTATCGACGGTAAATAACGACCAGCTGTTTAGGTAGGGTGTTAAAATAATGAAATTGAATTTAACGAGAAACGAACGAAATGAGTGAAGGAACAAAAGTATTAACATTGGTAAAACAGAAAGTGAATGATTGAGCTTAAATACTACTTGTCTCAATGAGTATACAAAAAAAGACAAACAAGAAAAAAAGAGAACGAATTTAAATAAAAACAAGGAGGAATATAAAAATTAAGAACGAGCTTTCATTAAAACAGTTTAGATTAAATACGAAGATGAACAGAAAAGAAACATATATATCTATACACACGTGTGTGCAAGCGTGTGCGTGGAGACATCCACAGGCAAACACATACACAAACACAGAGAGAGAGAGAGAGAGAGAGAATGAGAGGAGAGAGAGAGAGAGAGAGAGAGAGAGAGAGAGAGAGCATACAGAAAGAGACACGAAAATATAATATAATATATGAATGCAGGAAAGGCGAAAAACAAATGATAGAAAGAAATATACTTGTTCAAGTATGCGAAGTGGAGAGAATAAAGAAAGATTACGAATTGCGAACCTCAACACCTGTACGAACCCCTAAAATGCGGTGCTTAACGGGTGTGAGAACGGTGATACGGCGGTTTCCTTTGAATATCAAATTAAAAGAGTCCTATGAAGTTTCACTTGTCGAATACGTATCTGATGTACTCGAACGTATCAGGAAAAGTGTTCTCGTCGTTCGATATTGACGTAATACATTCTTTACATTTTGCTGGATCAAAAGATGCATCAACCGATGTTAGACTGATCGAATGAATAAAATAATCGAGTCAATGGAACAAGCAATCAGTACATACTTGCAAGATGCGATAAAGCAGAATCTGTTACTCCACGTGAAATGATATCGGACACGCTAATGTTCTAGTCAGAAAAATCTCGTTCCCTAATACTAAAATCATCTAGTCATTCACAGTCGATCTTCTGCCATTTCGAAACTGCACCCCGCAGAGACATAAGACGACTACAGTTTTTTCACGATAATTCTATTTATTATACAAGTCGCGGTTCTCACCCCTTGAAGCGCATCAGCGCGTCGTGTTTTTCGAATAACGAATTAAAAAACTTACTGTTGAGTGTTCATGGTGCTATGATTACTATTATTATTATGATTATATGATTATTATTAATATTATTATGATGGTGATGATGATGATGATGATGATGATGATTATTATTATTATTATTATAGAAATAACAATGTTATGCTATATGACAAAAATGATAATATAATAAATATACATTATACCTTAACAATAGATACTTTACCGCATTTTGATACTACGCTTACTCTTCGTTGAAAAGTAATTCAATTTCAGTCCCGTTTAAATGATCCGAATGTTTCCTTTCTCCTTTTCTTCTTTTTTCTTTCGTACACGCCTGATGCTCAATACACTTGTTTGCAATCAAAAACCAATTATACCATTTACGAAACATCAAAGTTTCGCATACACGATTAAGTCGCAATTTATTCGTCGTTTAAATGTCATTTGTCAATTTAACGTAATTATTGCTTTCATCGCGAACTATTGATTTCTAATCTGAAGAAACGCGATAAAGAGTGGAAATGAAATAAAATGTAAACAGAATATTGTTGCTTCGTGACTTCATATATTATGATATACATATCGTTACATCTTTATCATTTATCGTTGATAAATTGAATCACGTCGAATGTATTTAAAGGTTCTCCATCAACGACTTGGCCCTTCGCAGTTCTAGAAAAGATACGTAAAAACTATTTATTTCCATTTAGGTTATTCGTTAATATTTCAATTCTCACCTGTCAGTAAGATGTGTACGTCCCTTTTTGAGATATTGACGATTGAGTTTTCGCCATTTCCATCCAATTTCGTCAATTTAAAGGACACCGTAGAGACCGGGGATGAATTATCGCAGGGTAAAACTTGGATCGAGGATAATCGACTGACTGCAAAAGTACACATCTTTTCTATCTTTGAAATTGAAATGGATCAACCAATGAACATTTACAATTAAAAGGAATTGGCAACGGAACCCCGTTCATCGTGCACTTACTTCTTAAAGATTGCGAAGAAAGGGCAGTCGTGATTTGAGGAGAAAATTCTGTATGTAGTTTGGCAAGCGCGGCACTATGTTCACGAGGGAGACCAAGTTGTTGTAATTCACTGCTTAAATCCGCAGCGGAAACAGCATATCGAGCAGACGACGTAAATATCAACTCGAGAGCTGCTACCATAGCTTTTGCATCGTTCAATTCTCCGTGAAGAAGATAGAAAAAGGAATGACAAATAAAAGAAGAGAAAGAGCCAGAAGTTCGTGCGTTATATTAGAAAGGAGGAAATTAATCAAAGTACGACAAATGTATGGAAATAAAAAAATGACGAAAAAACGCGTTAAAGAATAAACTCGTACTTACCAACTTTGGCGTTTTGAGTGATTTTCTTGACTTTTTCCTCCTAAGGAAAGAGAGGGGGGGGGAGAAAGGGAGAGGGAGAGAGAGAGAGAGAGAGAGAATGAAGAAGAATAAAAATTTGTCTACTCTTGGAATGGAACTTGAAAAGCAATTTGAATACCATTTAATTGGGAAAAATCGCCAAGTAAAATAAACAATGGATTGAGGCACACTTACATCGAGATCTTCTTCCGTAAGATACTTTGCGACTGTTAGACCGAGTATTTTGATTTTAATAGATGTCTGCGAAAAAAGAGAAAGAAAAGAAATTGAAAGATGTGATATAGGAGTACGATTATTGTGCAACGTTCGATCGAAATATTCCAACCAAAATAACGATCGTACCATACGCGACAATGTGTTGATTTCGGCCAGCAGCCAATCGGGGCAATCCCCGTCACCTAAAAATCTGAATTTCTACGAAGAAAAATGAGAGATATCAAAATAAATGGTTTTCAATCAATTTCACATATACAGCAGCTTAAGCGTGCTTTACAGTACAGCTATTTCATTGCCGTATTATTGCACATATTTCAGATTATTATGCTTGAGATAATTATTGAGAAGATTATCTTACCATGTTTCACCAATTCGTTTCCAAGTATGTGATGAACCGATGTCTGTAATCTGCAATGAAGGTTCCATAAAGATAAATGTATGAATGACACGTTGCGAACGGCGTGAATAATGAATAAAACTTTACAAGTAAAAAATTGAGAGTTTTTACTACCGTATATACAGTATCGGATAAAAGTATACGTACACCTTATAAAACGGAATAACTGTTTTTCAATTGGACTAACGACTTGAGTTTTTTTAAAAGTTAGAAGGATTAGTTTACTAGATGACAAATGTAAAAAAAATTTTGAACAAATTGAAATTGCGAAGAAAATTGTAAAAGTCACTTTTTACAACTTTTTTATCTGAGCTTGTGAAAATTTAAAACATACGTTTTGTAGATTTATGTCAATTATATACATACTGAAAATTTTTTGTTTAGCATATTTATAAGTGACTTACTCAACATGTACGGACTCAACAATAACCACGACAAATTCGCAATCACCTTCGCGGGCGACTTATTAATATACACAAAAGGCAGTAAACCTTCGAAAATAAAAATACAGCTACAGGACACACTTAACAAAATACAAAACTACTTCCACACGTGGAAGCTAAAAATCAATACAGATAAATGCGAAACAATTCTCTTTAGACCTTACATCTCAAAAATCTCTAACGCAAATACGGACGTACGCAACACACCAAAAACTTCTACCTACATGACACACACAACGCACAGACAAAACCTCAAAACAAAAATATAGTACGATACCTAGGAGTACACATAGACTACAGACTAAACTACTACAACCACGTCAACATACAAATAAAAAAAGCACAGAAAGCATTTACCAGACACAAACGATTATTCTATTCCAAGGAACTAAGTACAGAAACAAGAATCACTTGCTACAAATCCATAATACGACGAATAGTAACTTATGCCTCTCCCATTTGGTTTAACGTCGCTGTGAGCACAATGGAAAAACTGAGGGTTTTCGAAAGAAAATACCTCAGAGCTTGTCAAGTCAAATACAGAACACTGGAGTCAAACTACAGAAAACTAATTAGCAATCACAAATTATACGAATATACAGTAAAGGTTCGGTAAGAGTTCCAAAGTCGGGATCGCTGTGTAACAGCTACGAAAAAGGTGGTAGGTTTCTCAAACTCTTTGTATTTTACCGACACCGACGGACGCAGAAAGAGACAGCAGACAAAGAAGAGAGGGGTACTGAAATTCAAGCCAGTCCTAAAATATCAAACACCTACATATCGGTGAGACAACACTAATATAAAAGGAAAAACTTTTTTGTTTTTTGTGTTTTGCTGATAAAAATTTTACTAACATATTTATGATATTTTTCTGATTAAAATGAGACCAAACACGGTATAATTTGGTTTACATTTAGTTACTTAATAAGAAATTCCACATATACATAATTACGCCCTCCCTATAAACAATTAATACATATTTACATACATCCACACTTTATTATGTCTTTACTATATCTATTAAATATAAGACACCTAAAAAAGATTACATATAAGGATTTATAAAACATTATGGAAAATTCTAAGATGATACATAATTAAAAAATATAGGAGCAATTATAAGAAATTAAATAAATTACAGGATATTACAAAGTTATACAAAATTAAAAAATTACAAAAGGTCAAAAAATTCAAAAGAATTACTAAAATTAATGAAACTAACAAAAAATTACAAAACTACAACTTGCACCTATTTATAATTATACAGAATGCTAACGGATTTACTAGTCAGCATAAAATAGGATTTAAATTCTATTTAAAAAATTGAATGTCATCTTCATTTCCCAAAAAATAATACAAACACAAAAAGTTCACATACGTTGTTATATTATTTGCAAAAAATAGTATCACATTTTTCTCTTTAATTTTTTTCACATATTCATCAAAAACGCTGACTAGTAATTCCGTAATATTTTTAACGTATTAGTAAATTCCAATTGTTCGCAAACTGCTTGCGAACTGCTTGTGAAGAGTCCTGAGTAGTGTAAACGTTAGTAAACGTGCCCTTTAAACTCGTCAAAGGTAAAAAATCGTTTCTTCCTATCCGATAATTGATCAAAGGCAATGCCCCCTTACGAACAATTATCGTGTAGAAGAGTGGCCCATTCGAAAATAACCGGATAGGTTCAGTTCTAGTCTGGATAAATGTTTCCTTTTGGCACATTTATGAGAAATGGTGTAACATTCTGTGATGTAAACAGTGAAATGAAGATAGCGGGCAAAGGAAGATTTGTAACAATATCGTGTTTGGTATCATTTTAATCGGGAAAATCTCACCAATATTTTGATGAAATTTTTATTAACGAAAAATTGAAAATAACAAACTTTTGTAGTTTTGTTAGTATTGTCTCACGGACATGCCGACGCCGAATGCGATAAAGAGATGCCGCGGCCATGTCACATTAGTCGCTTGCCTGGTTCAAGGGTGGTCCCCCCTTGTGGTGGGGATAGACCATGAACATTCATGGCGTAGATCCGAAAGAACTCTTATAGAACTTTTACTGTATGTAGTCCCTTGTCCTAATTATTTCAAGGAATTTCCTGATTATCGACATTTAGTCGAGTTATTTGTCAAACGGTCGGCATTAAACGCGACTAGACGCGTTTAGGCACTTCATACTTACTCGGGTTATGCAACATTTGTATGTACATATGTACGCTTTCTTTCCCGCTTCATAACGTTCTTAACGCTCTGCATGATTCATAACGTGGAAGGAGAGAGCACAATTATTATTATGTACTTAGTGTTGCGTTAAAACGAAACGGGTGGGTGAGAAACGCGAAATATGTATTTTCTTTTATGACAGGTTAGCGACTAACGTGGGACGCATTTCCCTGATGACTCTGGCGACCAACTCCTGAGGCGCACCGAATGAGAAAGAACGAAAACGCAAAAGAACATATACGTATTTACGTATGTATGTATTTACCTACCTACCAGACGGTCATCGAAATGTTTGCGCTGCTGGTTGGCCAGGTAAATTGATGTGGGTTACATTGGTGGCAGTGCAAATTCCCCTAACAATTCTCTGAATCTCTGGGCCGCAACGAGATCTAGACCCGTACGATTCGCCAAGAAACACTATAAATACCGAAGAAACGATCTCTACCGAAGTCATTCCTTGGCTTCGACTAGTGCCGCGACGTCGATATACATAACTATATAGCATAGATATTGCATTCTATCACACAACAGGTATATGTAGGTTCGCTTTAACGTAATCTTGCGTGCGAATCCGTGCGTGAGTGCTCAAGTGTGCTTAGACGTTATATATCAGGTCATCCCATAAGTCGTGTCGCCTCTCATCGCAGTTTATATAAACATCCGTATCTTGTTTCGGCGAACTGTTTATGAAAACTTCTCCCTATGCTTTTCAAGAGGAATCCTCTCGTCAGTCTAAAACGTGCATTCGAAACATTCAGAACGATATTTTCCATTTAAGAAAATTCAAACAACGAGTGTCGACGAAATTCATTTTCGGCATTGTATGCTGTATGAATTTAAAAAAGGCAGTACAGTGAAAAACGCCGTTAAAAATATTTGTGACGTGTACGGTAAAGATGTTTTAAGTGTAAGAAAATGTCAAAGGTGGTTTTGCAAATTTCGAAATCGGGTTTTGGATCTTTCCGATAAACCAGTTTTTTAATTCGAAACCTCAAGAATTTTTTGAAAATGGAATTAAGCGGTTGATTGAGAGATGGGAGAACGTCGTTGAAAACGATGGACAATACGTCGACGATTAAAAGTAAATGTAATATTATTCTATAGTTAAACTCACCGTCAAAAAACGACACGACTTATAGGATGACCTAATACATGCATGAAGTGGCACATTATCCTATGGGCGAAAGGGGCAACTGCCCGGGGCCTCGACCAACGAGGGGGGCCCTAAATCAATCTTTTATAACCCCATTCACGGTACATGGGGCCCTCAAATTCAAAGGGTATAGCAGGATAAAATAGTCAAAAGTGCCCTTGAACCGATTTTACCTGGCAATGCACCATTCGATAGCTTACCAAAAGAAAACATCGTACACCAAGTTTCAACCCCCTATCTCAACCAGGAGGGTAGTTACAGGATAAATCCGAATTTTCGGTTTTTACCACATTTTCCTTATTTAACGGTACGCAAAAATTCTAAGAAAAGTCTAGAACATTGTAGGCATGGTTGTTTATGGCTGTGATTTTCTTCAGATTCTTTAGTTGCAAATCCTAAGTGCAAAAAATCAAAAACGCAAAAAAGTGTCGAAAAATACAGATTTCGGGTTGAAGTTTTTAAGCGACTAGATTTTTACTTTTACAGTAGGTAGATATTAGTATGTCTATTGTCCTCAATTTTTTTCAGATTTTTCGAAAGGGTGCGCCGTAGTTAAAAAAATCAAAAACCGATATTTTCGAGATATTTCGCACGAAAACCTGATGAATACTTTTAATTTTTGCATTCCCTCGATACAGTTAGTGTATTCTGTGATTTTTAATGTCTGTGCATTCGACAGAGTAACGTATAAATGAAGAGAATTAAGTTAATTTCATTAAATTGAAAGTGTATACGCACCTTATCTTATAAAGTATTGAGGACAATAGATATACTAATATCTACCTACTGTAAAAGTAAAAATCTAGTCGCTCGAAAACTTCAACCCGAAATCTGCATTTTTCAATGGTCGTTGGTTTCTCGTAAGAAACTTCATTTTTCAGTGCCCCAAAGAAAATAATTAAGTGGCACGGCGTTTGACCTGACGGGCGAGCTAGCTATGAAACGTTACTGTCTCGCGCAATCCAACGATTAAGAAATGCATAGTCTCTCTAACATTCACTGTGCTTCAAAACGCTTCAAAAGCTTTCTTGTTCGCTCATTACGCGATTACGCAATTGCATTGACTGTAATAACAGTTCAAACACCGCGTGAAATGAAACTTATTTTACTAATGTCACAGTAATTGTTAGCTTTAGATAATATGTATTTAGTATAATACTTTTTTACGCAGCGTTTGATACTTTATTGAAACACGAGAAAAAATATTGGACATAAAAGTGTTAAGATAGTAACAAACGAGCTATTACCTTACATGCCCCCTTGATACCGTGCAACTTTTATCTGAAACATTTTTTCATACTGTAAATAATTTACGAATTATTTGAAGTTGTTCTGTTACGAGAACTCACCCTGTATAATGGAAACGAATATGTCAGCGAAGACGGTTAAACGTTCCGAAGAAACGTATCGACCGAAGAAATCTGTCCGTCTGACTGTAATTAATTGCGTCTCATTGTAATTTTACGCCGATTACTTTGCTTCAGAGGCAAACCTTTTCCTATCTGAATTGTCGAACATAATGTCGAATATTATTCAACCCATTGCCGACGGAGAGGACTACGTATGTACTTACGTAGATATTATAAAATTCTTCTACCTTATTTTCGTATTCGTCGAATGATTTCTTGGTCTTTTCGATTCGATGAAATTTAGAAAAACCGAAACTTGATTACTGCTACTTGGATTTTCTCTAATTGTGCTATTGAACTTGGTCGAAATAACGCGCGATTCTTTGATAAGGTCGAACGGAGGATCACATGATCGATGTGTTAGATTTATCAGTCAGTTAGATATAACAAAAATTAATCTAAAGCCTTACTAGGAAGTATATATTTCTTTTGTATACGTTCGGAGAAATCCGTTTAGCTTTACCACCTCTGTTTAGTAAAGATCTAAATGTTCATGATACGTGACAAAAGGCCCTTCGGTCCCAAGCGGGGTCGTAGACAATATTAGTAGGAGCATTCTCAGTCTGTAGACAGTGCTCTTACCATCAAGTAGAAAAGCGAACCTTCCTTGTGTCTAATAAAAGTTTATAGTTTAAAATAAGGATTATTAATTATTTAACAACCAGTAACTCCCATAATTCAATACGATGTTGTTGCACTCATTCGTTTCGCATGCTTGCCTCCTGTTGAACATCAATCTTGACGCGTATTATGTGTATTACGCAGGACATGAATTTACGATGAAAATGCGCAACATAATTTTTCAGAGCGTGGTGAAAGGAATTTTTAACCGATACACACATGTGCTACCTCTATTTTCACTTTGTCGCCTCTTGTATTCTCAAAATGTCATCGTATTTTATAAAGCAATGATATTCCATGATGTTCTCTGTTAAATAACGACTTTATCGAAAAAAGATCACGTAACTTTTCTTATTTTTTGACCGATGAATTTTTATCGATACACGATAATCTATGAAATGATGCAGATCGCGTACCATATCGTATAGGTTACATAGATATACGGCCACCGTTTGAGACCGCGCCTGGCTACATATCCGGAGAGGTGAATTTTTGAGAATTAGCCGGCGTTCTCTGACTCTGGCTCATTATGCCGTGCGTGCATCAAAGGTAAGAGTGAGAAGTAGGAAGTGCGAGTGAGACAGAATAGGTATTATATAGGTATTATAATAGGTTTAATACAAATATAATCCGATTAAGACCATCTCGTAACAATATAATAAAAACTATTAAAAAAATATATTTTTCTTAATCCGGTAATTCAATACCAGTCGAATCGGATAATAGAGCCAGCAGTTCAAGGAACTGGTAGGGATAATTCGCGGTCATGTTAGCGGACAAATTTTTGGCCATATATACAGACACTACTACTGTTAAGTAAGTACATAAGTATTTACGTGTAAATCCAAAGAAGAACATTCTTCAAAAAATCGTTCTTGATTACGATTTACATTCTAGGCGGCGCTAGTCTTATCATAGTCTGTTACTTATTATATTATGTTAGCAGCGACGATGTATTTGAAGAATCATCGCACGAAATATTGGCAGGGACTTAATCTACACGTGGCCAGAAAAAGAATTTGTAAGAATGTGCAATCCACAGCGTCCAATGATAACTGTACATTCATATGCACATAGTGACTCATATGTAGTAACGGAGTACACGAAAGTTTCGAGATGGCAAGCAACCCGCGACGTGTTGCGTTACTTGAGGAGCTGGCAATGCAGTGCACAAGGTGAGAGGATGCCTTCGGCACAATACTTACCCCAGAACCTTGAAACAGGGTGAACGATACAATTTGCTCATTTGGCCATCCTAATTCTTTAAACATTATTCAGATTTCTCTCGTGTAAAGTAGCCGAATCAACTGCGGAATACAAGTGATTTGTGTTTTCGAGTAAATGTACTATATTGTATACTCATACATATGCATGTCTCGACAATTGCTGCCAAAGAAACGATCACAACGTTTCATTTTGACTCACCAACCTTACGAATAATGAAAGCCGGTTGGAAATTTGAATGAGCCAAGCTAGATATAAGAAGAATGTGAAACTAATCACCGAATTCTCACTTTTTCCACTGTACGCGAATACTTTTTTCATCCGCGATAAAATAATTTTCAACAATTTATACATTCTACGAAACATTTCACTTTTTCGTTCCGTACAGAAATTTCCGAGATTTAAAAAATTTAAGAGTTGCTCGTCGAGTAGTTATTGATATGTTAGAAAGAGACAAGTTGATGATATTTCGATGAAATGTGTTGCGAAGATACTGACTGCGTATGAATATTGAAACGAAGAAATTAAAAGAAGAATAAAAGTAAAATGAGTTGAAATGAGTTAAAAGGAGATGAGAAAAGACGGAAGGGAAGATGCAGGGAGGAGAGAGAGAGTATCAAGCATGAGCAATAATAGCAGGGGTGAAAAGGATGGTTAATAGCCGGGGTTGGTTTTTTGAACCAATCGGAGAGCTCGCTGGCGTACCACGTGCGCGGATATAAGAAGAGCGGCGCGTATCGTTACTAGTCACTGTATATCTTATTTTACCGGAGCTCACAAGTGTCGCGTGTACCACTTACTATCCCATACTTGCATTGGCGAGAGAGCAACGGTGAAGCCAAGGTTTTTTCACTTCACAATATCCCATTAAGCGAACAACTGATAGACACATTCTATTATAGAGGTAAGCGATAGTTCTTCTCTTTCGATCATTCAGCCATGGAAAAAAAATTTCTCATCTGTATTAATTATTAATTCCCATGTAACATATTTGTCGCTAATGAATACACGTGTAATGCGTGAACTAAACAACGATGATAATTAAAAGATACCTTTACTTAATAAAAATAGAAAATATGTAGTTTTGTTCGTTTGTTCGTTATTTTGATTCGTACTAATTCAAGATAAGACTAGATAGTTTCTTTTTCCGAAGCTTTTAACGATCGACAATGATAACCTTCTAGTAGTAGCACCATCATTTCTTACTCTTATAGTGAGAGCGGCACTATTAGGTACATACATACATATCGATCTATCAATAAATCACTTGAACTGCTAAAAAAGAAGTAAAACAATTCTATTTTTCAAACGTAATGTAATGGAACATACGTAATATTTATGATACAATTAAATTACCGGTTTTAATGTCTGATAGGAAGAAACGGCAACGTAGAGTCGCGGCGCGGTATGTGATACCGATGTTAATACATGTGTATTCATCTACTAGAAAGTTAACAGTGTTGAAATGGTCCTTCAATGCAACATTTAAATCGTTCGATGTATATTTTCTGGACGAAGTAAAATTATTTTGATATAAATTGGGTCAACCATGGGATAAGAATAGGCGACAGAAATTGATTCGACATGATAGATTCACATAGAACGTTACTCCCTATGAAAAAATTCAACGCAATCAATTATATTTTGACCATCGAGTATTTGTTTTGAGACACGTAAACGTGAATATTTCGCGAGAAAAGTTCTCCTTCCAATACCGAATGAAGTATCGGACGTAAATGGTTTGTGAAAACGAATAAGTACTTGGATGACAGGTTTGAAAGCGTTCGTTAACTGTTTTAACATGCATGCTGACGAAAATGCACTTTTACTTCCTTCTTCGTACAATCGGAGCTCCATCGTTCGGAGTTTTTTGCAAAAGCATCGATCGACAAAAAGAAAGAATGAAAAAGAGGAAATAAGTTAAAATCATTATTAACTTTGTCATTGTCGTCATCGTTGTCGTCATCGTGCGTATAACTCTATTCAAGAGAGTAATAAACATGTACATATGTACATAGTACACGCTTATATTGTACAAATACCTACATAGTTTCTAAGAGTACAGGTAATGCCACTTTAATAGAAACGTACAATTAGCAGATTATTTTTTCTAAAGAAGATTGCAACGTGCTCCCAGAAATTGTGCTCTTCCATAAAGACTTTATATGTATATGTATAGTGAGTCGCATTAATATTCGGACATTCTTGCATGGTATGCAAGATATTATTCTGTATATTTGTTTATAAGAGTGTTAACGAGTTGGTTTTTTTTTTTATGTATTGAGAAATGATATTATAGTTAGTAAAAACATATTTTATTTATTTAATACACATGGTTAATTTATATAACAAGCAATACACTATATACGTACATATATACACAGGATGATCCACGCAACTGTTACGTGTTATAACTCCGTTACCGGTACCTACAGTTACAGAAAAATGTCAAAGGAGAGAGGTGACTGGTTCAAAGAGCACTATATTCGTAGGACCACGTTTTTTTTAGAAGTGCAATGGTGCAGGTGCAATCAACAATTGCATTATTTTTTTTAATGGAAATGCATACTTTTTAAGCAGATAGATTCCTCTCGTCATTCTACGTAAAAAAGTATTGAGGTATAATGGTGGAAAAAATGAATAGTTATCAAGATATTTTGAAAAATTGTCTTTATTCAGGTAGATGCTGGAACGCTTCTCCATTACACTGTACACATTTCATACAACGTTTCTCAATTATTTTCTTTACTGAGTTAAGGTGATCTCTGGTTATCCCGATTTAAGTACCCTGGATCTTTTTCTATGGTGATATTTAAAAGATAGGATTTATTCAAATCCTATAAATTCTATGGAGGATCTAAAAGAACGAATAATACTGCAGTGTACAACAATAACCGGAGATCACCTTAACTCAATAATGAAAATAATTGAAAAACGTTGTATGAAATATGTACAGTCGCTTTTTACAACTTTTTTATCTGAGCTCGTAATGAAAATTTCATCGAAATTGGTGGATGGAGAAACAAGCGATAGGCATCGAAAGATGTAAGAATCTTCAGATTTATTACAGTTCTAGGCCGAAAGTCGTGAAATAGTGCGATTTTCACAATCCCCCTACATTTTACTGACACTTGTGGAATCGACCCTACATTCTTTTTTTTTTACGTGGAGGTAGGCCGACTCAAGAATCTTCAGATTTATTACAGTTCTAGGCCGAAAGTCGTGAAATAGTGCGATTTTCACAATCCTTAACAGTTTGTAGCTCGTAGCAACATTAATCGATTTCGATGAAATTTTCAGCACGTATATACCAGGTATGTAAATATGAAACCGGAATTTTTGTATAGAAAATACACGTTTATTGTATGAAAATGATTAAAAATATTTTATTCGAAGTATTGCCCATCGCTAGCTATTCATTTTTCCCACCTGTCTGATAATTTGTGGATGCCACGCCAAAAAAACTGTCGCTCTTTGGAGGCAAACCAGTCATCGAGCCATTTTCGTACATTTTCGTAAGAAGTGAAGCGCTGGTCAGAAAGTGCGTGTCCCATCGATGCAAATAAATAGTAATCGGACGGAGCCAAGTCTGGTGAGTAAGCCGCGTGCGAAAGTATTTCCCAACTGAACGCCTCAATTGTTTCCTTGACAGGTTTGGCTGTGTGTGATGGTGCATTATCATGAAGCAAAATCACTTTGCGTTGCCTTTTTTGATATTCTGGTCGTTTTTCACGCAAAGCTTGATTCAAATCGATCATTTGTTGTCGGTAGCGCTCAGTATTAACGGTTTCGCCAGATTTTAGCAGCTCATAATAGATCACACCCTTCTGTTTGATCCCACCAAACACAGAGCATTGTCTTCCGTCCATAGCGATTTGGCCTTGCAGTCGATGTCGGTGGTTCGCCTGGAGCTACCCATGATCTTTTACGCTTAGGATTCTCAATATATATCCACTTTTCATCGCCAGTCACAATTCGGTGAGAAATGACTTTCTTTTGTATCTGGCGAGCAGCATTTCGCAAGTGGTTTTTCGGTTTTCCTGCTGTCTTTCATTCAGTTCATGTGGAACCCATTTTCCCATCTTCTGGATCTTTCCCATGGCTTTCAAACGTATGGAGACGGCTTCTCGTGTCACGTTTAATTGATCAGCAAGTTGTTGTTGCGTTTGAGCGTCATCCTCATCCAACAATGCTTGCAATTCGCTGTCTTGAAACTTTTTCGGTGGTCTTCCACGTTCTTCGTTTCTCACGTCAAAATTGCCACTTCTGAATTTTTTAAACCACTCAAAGCACTGTGATTTACCAAGAGCATGCTCACCGTAAGCTTCGACAAGCATTCGATGCGATTCTGTAGCAGTTTTCTTCAAATGGTAACAGAAAATCAATGCTGTCCGCAAATCGTAGTTTCCAGGCACAAAATTCGACATGTTCAACACTATTGCAAACTATGCTGTTGTATGAAACTTGTATTGTTGTGAGTTGAAAACGTTTGTGAGATGTCAACAAAGACTTTTGGCATCAATGACGTAGTTTGGCGGGAACTACATTGTCAGTTAGGGCCATCTATAGGCAAATTCCGGTATCATATTTACAGACCTGGTAATTGACACAGATCTACAAAACGTGTTTTAAATTTTCATCACAAACCTAGATAAAAAAGTTGTAAACAGTAACCTTTACAATTTTCTTCGCGATTCCCACCAACTGCAATTTTTTCAAAATTTTTTGTACACGTCACCTATTAGGTCGTAACATATGAAATGTCCGATTTTTAGCGGTAAGTTTAAATGATCATAACTTCTTTAATATTAAATTTTATTAATCAAAATAGGAACCATTACATTCCACACATTTTTTCCAATTAGTTAAAAGTTTTTGAATTCCATTTTTATAAAAATTCGGAGGTCTGGTGACAATAAATTGTTGAAAGGCATTTTCGACAGTCTCTTGATTCATAAACGTTTTCTCGTTGAGGAAGTGATTTAAATGTTTGAAAAAATGATAATCAGTAAGCGACAGGTCTGGTAAATATGGTGGATGAGGCAGA